CTTCCGATCTGAGGCCAAAGTCAGGTGTCTTCTTCTATCACTACTTTTTGAGACAGGGTCTCCCTATGGCCCCAGCTGTCCTGGAACTCCCTATGTAGACCAGGCTGGCCTTGAATCCACAGAGATCCTCGTGCCTCTGCCTCCCGAGTGCTGGGATTAAAGGCGTGCACCACCAAGCCCAGCTTATATTTTACTACTTTTTACAACAAAAACTTTGCAGCACTTTCAACTTTGAGGTGTCTAAAAATCTTTAGATCGCTACAGAGAGACTAGAACTGAGGAGTTAAGGGTCTAGATGGTACTTAGAAATTTGGGCTTTTACTTTTAGGAGCTGGAGAGATGACTCATCAATTAAGAGCACTGGTTGCTCTTGCAGAGGACCCAGGTTTGATTCCCAGCACCCATATGATGGCTAACCATCTGTAACTCCAGTTCCAGGGGAACTGGATGCCCTCTTCTGACCTCTACAGGCACTGCATGACACTGGTGCACTCACATACATGCAGGCAATACACTCATACATATAAAATAAAAATAATAAATTTTAAAAAACCAAGAAATTAGGGCCCTTATTTTTTTTCTCTGTCACTACACTCTGGAGGAAACATTTCCAAGTACGGCCTTGATTCAAACCAGAAATAACACGCTCTTTTCAAAGCCCTGGTCTTTACTTCAGAAAAAATTTTTTTCTAAAGTTTCCTATTAGGATACTAATGTAAGCCCCAGAATCAAAAATAAAATAAATAGAAAGCTAAGTACGGTGGTACATGCCTGCAACCCCAGCATTTGGGAAGTAGTCAGGAGGATCAGCAGTTCAAGGCCAGCCTGCGTTACACAAGACCCTGTCTCAACTCTCACCTCTACCCCCACCCCAAAAAATAAATAAGAGGGGCTGAAGGAATGGCTCAGACAGTAAAGTGTCTGCTGTGTAATCCTAAATTCAGATCCCCAGTACCACATAAAATCTGAATGTGGGGGCTAGAAAGATGACAGGGGTTAAGAGCACTGGCTACTCTTGCAGAGGACCCAGGCTCAGTTCCCAGCACTCACATAATGGTTAACAACTGCTTGTAACTCTAGTTCCAGTGGATCTAACGCCCTCTTCTGTCCTCCGTGGCCACTGTATGACATGGGTGCAATTACATACATGTAGACAAAAACCCTCATGCACTTAAAAATAAATATTTAAAAAAAAAATCTGCATGTAGCACTGGACTATAATCCCAACACGGGGGAGAATGGACTGAGACAGGAGACTCTCTGGAGTCCATTGTCTGCCAATTAGCCAGTCGGTAAGCTCCAGATTCAGTGAGAGATCCTGCCACAGAAACAGGGTGGAAAATGACTGAGGAAGACACCTAGCATCAGCATCAGGCCTCCACACTTGCCCACACCAATATGTGTGGAAGCATCCACAGGCACACAAACATGCACACACACTTAATATATTAAAGACTACATTTACGGTTATTACTGACACAATAACAATTAGCAATGGCCATACACAGGATTCTACAGGTTGATATAAACTGATGGCAGTATATATACTCATGCATGTAGTTTTATCTACATAAACATAAGTTTTGAACTACTCTATCTTACAATGACTATGAAATTAAAGGGTTTTTGTTTGTTTGTTTTTGGTCTTTTTGAGACATGGTTTCCCTGTAGCCCCAGTTGGCCTAGAACTTGCTATCACTATGTAGACCAGGCTGACCTTGAATTCACAGAGATCCACCTGACTGCATCCTGAGTGTTGGGATTAAAGGCATATACCACCATACCTTACTTGAAATTAAAGATTTTTTAGAATTCTCTTGGCAATAAGGAATGAAAAACTCCAAGTGAATTATTATAATCTAGGCCAAGTGTGGTGGCAAGCCTTTAAACCCAGGACTTGGGAGGCAGAGGCAGGCAGATCTCTTGTGAGTTCAAGGCCAGCCTGGTCTACAAAGTGAGTTCCAGGCCAGCTGAGGCTATAAGGAGACCCTGTATGTATCAAAAAGACCAAAAATAAAATAAAAATTATTATAATCTTCCACTCTTAAATTTTTTAAAGCACGCCTTTCATTTTATTATTGTATTTTTTCATGCAATGCAGATGATTAAATTTATGACTTCGCACATGACAGACAAGTGCTTTGCCACTGACAGACATCCCCACACATATCATTTTATTCTAATCTCAAGTTACTCAAAAGGTTAATAAGATGTTACAGAATTATTATCAATAAAAACCACACATGCATTTAGTTGAATGTAGTACTAAAGTAAAACATGTACCAAGTTTTGGAGTAGAAGAAACCACTTCAAAAAGATGAGTATCTTAATGCTTATTACTTTCTCAAAAAGCAGTTCAGGTAGGCAAGGCACAGTGATGCACCCCAGTAATTCCAGCACTTAGAAGGTAAAACAGGAGGAACAAGAGTCTAAGGTCATCCTGATACCCTATCTCAAACCTCTCACCACTCCAAAAGCAGTGCAGAATAGTTTAGGAAAGAGGAAATGTGAAATTAACTCTCAGTACTCACTTATAATAGTCAAGATAGACATACAGAAGATGCTGCAGATTGTGCTCCAAACAGTACAGAATGAAGCGAGAATGGAAATCCCAACCTTCTTTGGATTTGTAGTTTTGAACAGGGAGAGTATCTTGTATTATGCCCCCAATACGGCTCAGTCTCTGGAGGAAGAGCTCAAAGTCTTCTAGCTCAGATGTAAGAAAAATGCCACACCTAAGAGGCAAAGTTTAAGAGATGAGAAGTTAAAAACTGCTAGGTTCAGAAAAGACCAAATCACTTCCACTGTTTAAAATCTCAACTACTTAAAAATATGTATAACTGAAGGCTGCTACATCTTACTCTATAAATATGCTCTAAGACAGTTTTTGTCTAGTTTCCCATAAATGTTTCTTTTTATACCATTGTAGTATTTAATGTAGTAGTTATTAGTTTCAAATTATATTTGATATTCAAAAGCCTAACATGAACTATCCTTTTCTGTTGATTTTGGTTGGAACTGTATAGCCCAGTGTGGCTCCAAAATATCCACAAAAATCTCTAAGAAACTCCAGCAGTTTAAATAAACCAACTACTAAACAAGGAGAGCAATTTGCATTTAAATATTACTTTTAATAAATTTACTGCCAAACACATCACATAAACCACACAAAAGATTATGGGAAAATACATAGGAAGTGTAAAGAAATGCAATGTAACCACCACCCAGATTACAGAAAATTTTATGTGGGAAGCTGTTGTTATCCCTTTCTACTGCATGCCCCCAGAGCTAACTGATATCCTGGCTTGATTTTCATGATTAACTATTCCCTTTTATTCATAGTTTTACAACCTAAAACCAACCTCAAGTAATGGTTTTTGTCTACTTTGAGCTTTACATAAAAGGGAACATAGGGAATGCAGTTAATTTTTTTTTTTTTTTTTTGGTCTTTTTGAGACAGGGTCTCCCTACAGCCCCAGTTGTCCTGGAACTCACTATGTAGACCAGGCTGGTCTCTGAACTCACAGAGATCCGCTTGCCTCTGCCTCCCAAGTGCTAGGATCAAAGGCGTGCACCACCACGCCTGGCAAGAATGCAGTATTCTTTACCCTATTTCTCCAACTTGATGCTGAACAATTTACCCATGGCAATGCCCTTGGCTACATTTCCTTAGTTTTTATGTAACAGTATGCCATTGTATGATTATATTTTATTGTATCTTTGTGGATCATTTAAGCTGTTCCTACATTTTGGATAAAATAAATTCATGTTTCTATGATTACAAAGAGAAAGAACATCTTTTCCTATGTTTACTGGCCATCTGTGCGTCTTTTCGGTCAAATACCCAGGTGCTTGTGCAAGGATGCCTCTCCTCAGACCCCAGCTTTGCTCTTCACCCTGCCCTGTGTTCTTGGTCATGTGTCTGGCCTATATAAACTCTATTACCCTCTGGCTTATGCTGTGATTAGCCCTATAGGAGGGCCCCATCAGGAGACAAGAGTTAGAAAGAAGGGAAGACAGCAATAGGCTGGCTGTGCACTGGGGGACTACAAATTGGCTGACACCTTCTTTAAGGGTCAACACTCCTGACAAGAAGTTCTCTTTGCAGTAACTGTTATTCCTTGCTGCTTGAGACTGAGAAAGTATACTGTACTCCCAAGATCATGGAGTTATATAGTCTCTTTCTTTCAAGATTTTATAGTTTCATATTTGAAATTTAAGTTTTAAAATCTCCACAGAAATGATTTAATGTCCATTTCCCCCATTCAGCTGTTGTATTATCACAGTCCTATTTGCTGAAAAGACCATTCTTTCTCCAGTGTTCTGAAGGTACCTCTGTCACACATAAACTGACCACACAGGAACAGGTCTGTTTCTGTTCTTACTCTGTTTCGCCTACTATTTTATTTTTATTTTATTTATTTTTATTTTATGTATATGAGTGTATTGTCTGCATGTGTGTAAGTGCATGTGTATAAGTTCACCCATGTCATGCAGTGCCTCCATAGGCCAGAAGAGGGTGTCAGGTCCCCTGGAACTGGGTTATGGTCAGTTGTTAGCTACCATGTGGGTGCTGGGATTAGAACCCAGGTCTTCTGCAAGAGCAGCCAGTGCTCTTAACTGCAAAGCGATCTCTCCAGCCCCCTCCTTACTAGTTTAATTGCTGAAGTTTTTAAAATAAATTTTGCTGTTAGGACAATTTCTTTTTATGGATCTTCTTGATTTTTTGCATATAAATATTTTCCCATATAAATATTTAAAATCAGCTTGTTGTAATAAACACACACACACACACACACACACACACACAATAAAATTGTTACTGAGACCACACTACACCTCTATACTTAAGGAGCTTTGGAGGAACTAACAGCAGGCCTTTCTTGTTCCAAATCAACAGAGAATACTTGCTATGCTTATCTTGTTTTCTGAATCTAACAGAACAGTATGAGTTTCCCATTTTAATATGTCTATATAATAAATATAATGAATTTATTAAGTTTCTTAATGTTAAATCACAGACATATTTTTAAACAATCAAATGCTAAGGGAAAATATTCTGAACATACAAATTCTACAATATCTTATTTTTAGTGAATAAGAAGACCATTTAATGCAAGGGAAAAAATAGTGACTAGAAAATCAGCAGTTAAAGGATTCAAGTCTATAAGTGGTTGAGGCAATGCACTTAACTTTTCAAGATCTGACTCTGCATCTTTAAGCCAGGGAGATCCAAATAACATAAGTACATCCCCAGCAAGTATAAAAAGAAAGTATTATATATTGAATAAGTGTAAGAAACATGGTGATACACATACTACCAACTTTCCTCTGAGTGTTTCAGGAGCTTAGGAAGACAGAATAGATTGAGCCATATGAAACTTGATATTCAACTATTTTTGACCCACAGAAATGTCAAGCTCATATGGTTCAAGCTAACAGAATTATTTTTAGAAATGAATTAAAGTTCAAAATCTTGGCTTTCCCTCTGTATTTTGCTTCAAGGCCACTTGTAGCACATGAGAGCAGTGATAATGGAGAAGCCTGGGAAACCATTGCAGAACACCTCCTCATGGGGTATTCTAGTCTCAGCTCTTGCCACTTGCTCCTTGTAGCTCTAATGGCAATTCTATATCAGAGAATACTACATAGTAAGTTCCAGGCCAATCTGGGCTACCTAGCAAGACCATCTCAAAACAAAACAACAGAAAGTATGAAATGCTTTAGGAAGAACCTACAAATAGAATTTGAGAATCTGTTTACCACACTGTGATAATAAAGGCAAATGAGATGATTTTTTTTTTTTTTTTTTTTGGTCTTTTTGAGACAGGGTCTCCCTGTAGCCCCAGCTGTCCTGGAACTCACTGTGTAGACCACGCTGGCCTCCAACTCACAGAGATCCGCCTGCCTCTGCCTCCCAAGTACTGGGATTAAAGGTGCGTGCCACTACGCCTGGCTAAATGAGATGATTTTAAAACATCAGCTTAAGATAATACCCTTAAATTTTATATTATGAAACAATATTGCACTGGATTATGAAACTCAAAGACAATAAATCACATGGGTGTTCACACATTCTTTTTGCAGCACTAGACTCCAACCTAGGACTCTGCACATGCTAGGCAAGCACTCTTCCCCTCACCATTATGTTTTATTACTTTTCCTTTTATTCTTCCCACTGGACATTATTTCTATAGTTATAGTACCTGGCCAGCTTATCTAAAATTTCATTCCTCATATAATTGTTGCAGCAAGTATTCTGATCAATAACATCAACAGTAAGAGGAGGCCATTTGTTCTGCTGAAGTGACATGGTTTCCTGGGCTTGAAATTCTTCAATCCACAAGGTAATGCTTAGCCTATCATGGTGAGCTGTGAGGTAGCTCCAGAGGGCTTCTGGGGAATATGATTTGTATTCTACATAAAGAACAAAACACATTTTAAAAGAGTAGTGAATTATGATTACTGACATGTAACTTAATACAGAAATATTACTGAGTAAATACAACAATCTGGACATATTCAGATCATATGTGAATTATTCAGGTCCTCTAATCTTCTACAGTTTTCTTCTTCTGCTTTGTTCATTTCATAATCAATACCACAGAGAGAGGAAGAGCTCAGTGTTGCTCATCACTAATGGTGAGAATGAATGGGTACTATAAGCTATGCATTTCACCTATCAGTTCCACCCTCTTCTTTCCTCCTTTTTGGTCAAAAAAACTTAGGCTACAACAGTAAACATTAATTTGATTCTGTTCATCACTGTCAGTTATTCTCCAGAGCCCTGGTATGATGGCTAATCTCCAAAATCAAAAGCTATTTCAAAAAAACAAAGAATGCCGGGACTGGAGAGATGGCTCAGTGGTTAAGAGCCCTGGCTGCTCTTGCAGAGGACCCAAGTTCAATTCCCAGCACCCATGGGAATCGGTCAGCTAACGTGTCAGCTAACAACCAGTTAGCTGAACCCGACACCCTCCAGTTCTAGTGGAACCCAACACCCTCTTCTGTCCTCCATGGGCACTGCATGACATGGGGACAGGGGTGCACTTACATACATGCAGGCAAGACATTCATATACATGAAATAAAAATAATAAAATATATTTTTAAAAAACAAAGAAAGTCAACCTAAAGCTGTGATGAAAACTTTTAGCCTTATGCCTTTTCTCTTTCAGCACCACATTGTAAATTCATTACAAAAACTTTGGAATAAGCAAGAGGGTCTTAATGCAATGACTGAATTTTAAGAAAAGTGAACATTTTCCCTAAAAAGGAATTCTAAAATAGAAACCCCCAAATACCAAAAACACTAATGTCTAACTTAGTTCTCATTAAATACACTCATATTTCGGGTGCCCATGTACTTGCCTTCTGGATTTGTCCTGGGAAGGAGGATACGATCTTGGGTTGGTTGATCCCACCAGTGAGCCCAATTTAATGCAATTCTATGGTCCTGCTGGTCAAATTCATCCTTATGATCATATTTGAGGACTGTGTTCAAGAGAGATTCATGCTTGAAAAAATCTTGTTCCTTTATCCAATACCTAAAACAGTGACATTTTCTTTTTATCTGCTCTGAAGGAATATACATTTTTAAGATTTATTTTTATTCATGTATATGTGAGTGTCTATATGCCATATGTGTGTGGGTGCCTGAAAAGGACTGGTGGATCCCCTAAAACTGGAATAACAGATGATTGTGAGCTACCTAATATAGGTCCTAACAACAGAACTCAGGTCCTCTGAAAGAATACAGTGTTCTTAACTACTGAGCCTCTCTCCAGCCCTGGTAATATACAATTCTGATTATAAATGCGTAAGTGAGAGGAAATGTCTAATTCTCTTCTTTAAGATGCAAATTTTGCTGTGTGGTGGTGGTTCATGCCCTTAATCCCAGGCCTGTGGAAGCAGAGGTAGGTGGATCTCTGTGAATCCCAGGCCTGTGGAAGCAGAGGTAGGTGGATCTCTGTGACCAAGGCCAATCTGATCTATACAGGGAATTCTAGGGCAGCTAGTGTTACACAGTGGGACTCAGTCTCAAAACACCAAAAAAGGGTCTGGAGAGATGGCTCAGCCCTTAAGAACACTTGCTGGTCTTCCAGAGGACCCGGGTTCAATTCCCAGAACCCACATGGCAGCTAACAATTGTCCATAACTCCAGTTCCAGGGGATCCAACACCCTCTTCAGGCTTCCAAAGGCATTACACACAACACAGGTGGTGTACTTACATACATGCAAGCAAAACACTCATATACATAAAATTAAAAAAATTTAAAAAAAACAACCGTGTGTGTGTGTGTGTGTGTGTGTGTGTGTGTACACCTTTAGTCCCAGCACTCAGGAGGCAAAGGTAGGCAGATCTCCATGAGTTCAAGGTCAACCTGGTCTACATAGTGAGTTCCAGGCAGCTGAGGCTACAGGGAGACCCTGTCTCAAAAAAGACCAAAATTAAATAAAAAAAACAAAAATAAAAAACCCACACACAAAATATAGATGTATATGGGGCTGGAGAGATGACTCAGAGGATAAGAGCAGTAGCTATTCTTGTAGAGGACCCAAGTTCGATTCCCAACTCCAGTTCCAGGGGATCCAAAGCCCTCTTCTGACCTCCATGGGCAGTGCACAACACAAGTGCACTTACACACATGCAGGCAATACACTCATACACATAAAAATAAAATATTAAAAAAATATACACACACACACATACACACTCTTCTTGAGGAATATACACTTAGTTCCACATAAGAAAGTTGTGCTCAAGTCAGGTGTGGTGACGCATGCCTTTAGTCCCAGCACTCAGGAGGCAGAGGCAAGCAGGTCTCTGTGAGTTCAAGGTCAGCCTGGTCTACATAGTGACTTCTAGGCTAGCTGGGGCTACAGGGAGACCCTGTGTCAAAAAGACAAAAAAAAAAAAAAAAAAGTTGTGCTCATAATTATTGCAAACTAAATGTTACCTATGTTACCTACAATACTCTTCCATTATTATCACTAATGAACCCACCTGGGAAAGGACTGGATCTGCATATTTTCTTGGAAATGTCCTGAATAAACCTTCTCAACTTGATGAACAAAGTCTATAGTTCTTTTTTCTTTTTCAGAAAAATACTTTTTTTCTTTTAAAATTTCAACCTTGAATAAAAAGTAATTAGAGCAGTGACCTCACAAAAATCAAGAACATTTGTAAAACAAAGGTCATGAAATAAAATGTCATTTAGAAATTGTACTCTGGGTGGGGAAGCATCCAGTGCAAGCTAAAAGCCTTGGGTTTGCTCCACAACACCACAAAGAAAGTTGGAGGAAGGAGGGAAGAGAGAAGAGGGAGGAGTGGAGATTATATTTTGCATTAAAATTTTGATTGTTTTCATTTTATGTGTATAAGTGTTTTGCCTGTGTGTATGCAGGTGCACCACATGTGTGCAGTGCCCACGGAGGCCAGAAGGGGGTAACAGATCCCCTGGAACTGGAGTTACAGAAACTTAATAGCTACCACATGGGTTCTGGGAACTGAAACTCTGGAAGAGCGACAAGTGCTCGTTAACTGAGCACTGAGTCATTTTGCCAGCTTCACATTTTGCAGTTTTGAAGTTAATACATATTCACATGAATCTGCCTTTGCCATAATCATTTAAAAAGGACTGCCATACTGTTACCTACTATATGAAAATCATTCATTTTTAAGTTTTTCTTACAAAATTTTCACAAAGACATTCTTAAAAAATGTACATAATAGCCAGACATGGTGATCCATGCCTGTTATCCCAGCATTCAGGAAGCTAAGAGAACAGGATCAAGGACTGAAGGTCAGCTTGGACTACAGAGCAAGACCCTGTCTCAACGTGAAAAAGAGGAAGTCTCATCTTTACCTACCAAAAAGTCCCGTGTATTTTTGTCAGTTGTATAGAAGCATATCTTGAGTAACTGATCTTTCACATCAAAACCCTAGAATGCAGAAAAAATTTTAAACTTACACTTTGTAATGGAAGTGTTTGAACTTTAATAAGTTAGATGCATATACCCTACTACAGACATACATATCATACCTTTTCTGCTCTTGGGAATATTCATTTCCCACATCAATTGTATTTTTTTTCTGTTTGTCCCTAAAGTAATAAACATTTTTCTAGAGCAAAGGCAACACAGAGAACAATTTATAATAATACCAGACTACCAGAAAACCAAGACTACAATGAACTGCTATGGTAATTTACTTGAAACAAAAGGCTGACATAAACAAAAATCCCTTATATGTTTCATTCCTCTGTATTTTCACAAAGTTGTCACGGACAAGACCCCAAACATTTAGATCAGGACCAAATTTTAGTTTAGCCCAGGAACCCTACTTCTAGGACTTCTCTCATCAAATGAAGCAAAACCAGGCAACATGAAGTTAAGTCAGGACACAATCCATCAGAAAGCTCAAATGCAGATATGAGGATATAAGGAATATAGAATGTTCTCCAACAAATACGGAGTTCCTACGCATGCAATGCCATGTGTGAAGTCTTCTATGAAAATCAAATCTCAGGGTATGGTGGTATATGTTGATAATCTCAGTACTTGAGAGGCTGAATTCAGCCTGGGCTACACCGTGAGATACCCCCCCCAACACCCTGTCTCAAAACACAAAAACAAGAGATACCAGGTATGGTGGCACATGCCTATAATCCCAACACTCTAAGGATGAGACAGGAGAATTACTCAAGTTTGAGGTCAGTTTTGGTTACATAGTGAGTTCTTGGCAATCCTGTGCTACAGAGAGTCTGTCTCAAAAATAAGGGGAAGGGGGGCTCTCTTATACCACTTACCATATTCTTCAAAAGTATGGAGGCTTCTTTTATATTGCTCTTCTTTAAACTGTTGAAGACCAAATCTAGGCCCATCCTAATCAATTCCTCTAGTCTTTGAGCTGAATGACTGGTAATCCTGAAGAAAGTTTGTGCCTCTGGTATTTTGTTATTTAAAATGGCATTGGCAATAATTTCCTAGGAAAAATAAGAAAAGTATAAGTCTCTTAACTCCTTATTTTCTTATTATGATTATCAATATGGAACTTATACATGCATTAGATACCTACTAAGGGACCTTTATTAAAAATCTACCTCTAGACTTGAGATATATGAAATTGTCTAAAACAGAACCTGCTGCCTAGGACCTCACAATCTTTTGGAAGATGAAAATAAAGAACTGACTCTAGTACTCTCTGATAAGGGAGACATAAAAGTATCCTAGGAGGTTAAGGAAGGAGCAGAAGAGATGCATCTAAATAAGAGAAACACAAAGCAGGGCAGGAGATAGACAACTTCTTAGTAAAGTGACTACTCAGGTAAAAGAATTAAAGACCAGCAAGTACTCCACATCTATACTGAAAAAGAAGACAGGTATTCAAAAACAAGAGAACATCATATGTAGAGACAACAAAAACCTGCATCAAGCCTTCAGAGAATCCCAGTTATATAGTACTATAAGATAACTGGGGGAAAGCTGGAGAGTGGCAGATGATACATGAAGGAAAAGCAGAGAGTCCTGCAGGAGCTTGTGTATGTGTGGGGTACATCCATCCGGAAACTCCCACATAGCCACTGGAAGACCTTAAAAACAAGAGACCATACTTCATACCATCAGATATATACTTTAGGATACAGTGTGGAAAACTGACCAGATGTAATTCAAGGCTGAGATACTGAGGTACCTTTACTGCAAAACAAAGACTTAAACTAAAGATCTAACTCTCAGACAGAACAGAGAGGAGGCATTCTTCCTTAACCCAGGGCTCTAGAGAAGCACAAAGGAGACCTGTAAAGGAGACAAAAGAATCAGAAAAAAAAAAGCAAGAAAAGCCAGGTGTGGTGGTGCATGCCTTTAATCCCAGCACTTGGAGGCAGAGACAGGTGGATCTCTGTGAGTTCAAGGCCAGTCTAGTCTACACAGTGAGTTCCAGGTCAGCTGGGGCTACAGGGAGACGCTGCCTCAAAAAAAAAAAAAAAAAATCAAGAAAAGTAATTTCTGGGTAGCGAAAGCAAGAGAAACAGGAAAAGTAGTCATGGTAAAGTCTCCCCATCTCCCCCTCCAACAATAGTGCTGAGAACTGCAAGACCTCAGCTCTGTTCTCTAACTGCTGGTTCTCATTATCAGCACTATCATCTCTATGGCCTTTGCAGCTCCAATCCTAATATTCTGCAAGGTGGAAGGACTCTTCAAGTCACAAAGAGGGCAGCAATTTGGGGTGAATCAGTTTATACTGTGAATAAAGAGGCAAACAGATAGATAGAAAATTTAATTGGCCAGTGCATTCATTTATAATAGGCAGGACTCAAATCCAGTACCCTTCCAACTAATGATATCACTGTAGGTAAAACACTCATACACATAAAATTTTTTAAATTAAAAGTTTCCTAAGACCTAATCACCAGTAGTAATTCAGTTTATGCAGAAGACAAGAAAAATACACGAGGCCAAAGTGCCAGGCTCTAGAGAGCATGGTGGTACAGGCCTATAATCCCAGCACTTGAGAGGCTAAGACAAGAAGATCATGAGTTTGAGTCTACCCAGGATTACAAAGCAAGTTCAAGGCTAGACTGAGATAAATAATGAGACCCTGTCTCCAAAAAAATAAAAAGTAAAACAAAGTTCCCTACCCAAGCCAGTGAAGGGGTACTGCTAGGAGAGTATGACTTAACATGGGTTTGGAGTTGGGGTTTGATCCAGGTGGCAGAGCTAGCATTCAGAGGGACAATAAACAGAATCTAGAGACAAGTTTGAAGTCATGCCCAGAGAGCCCCAAACCAGTAAAACCTAAAACCTTTGTTAAAGATTCCATATCACAATTGCATAGACTTTAAATAGCCTTTTGTCCTATGGTTTTTGTAGTTTTCTGAATCTGGCAAAAGAAATAAAATAATCACTCATATTTACCTCAAAGCTGAGTTTCTCCCATATTTTACTCTCCTTTACTGTGGAGACATTTTCATTTACATCATAGTCACCTATAGCATCTGCTGGCTTCCAAGGAAATTTTATCATAAAAGTTCGAAGTTTATTAATGTAGCTGGTCAAAATGTCCACTCCTTTCTGTAGATGTTCATCTAACTCTGAAAAACATTAATGTGCCAGTTCACGTGTGTGTGTGTGTGTGTGTGTGCGCGCGCGTGTGTGTAAACGGGGTTGGAGGGGAACACTATGATTTGTTACAAGAAATTCATGAAAACACCAAATTTTCAAACAACATACTTGAAGATTTTCTTATTCCTAGGGCTTTCTGCCAACCTTCTGAGTATTAAAACCCATTATGCTCTCTCAATTAAATTCACTTCAGCAAATGGCACTCCACTGGCATATGCTTTGTTGTGCAACAGTAGCATCTCTGTCTCTGTCTTACAAGGAATTGCATGGCCCCCTCCCTTACTGCTAGTCTTACCTTCAGTGTGAACAAAAAGTTCCTTTATTTGTTTGTTAAGGAAAGACAGTGTAAGATTAAGCAACTGTTCTGAAAAGTGTTTGCTTTGGGTTTCAGAGTCACTTTCTCTAATTGCTGAACAAAGTAAATCCAATGCTGGTGTCATTTCTTCTACATCTGAGAAACAAACAAGGAAATTAATATGGAAACACTAGACTATTCCCAATAAAATTAACACATCCAGAAACATTAAGCTGCGGTATCAAATACAAACAAGAATCAGTGCCTTCCTTTCACACAGCTTATACATTTCTATGAAGGCTTATTACCTGCAAGCTTTAATGACTCTAGTCAATAAATAGTTACCAGTATTACTACTGTTATTCTGCAGACCACCCATATCTTAAATATTGTACTTGGTGTTTTATAAACTTAGTGTTTAAGCCAGGCTTGGTGGCTCACGCCTTTAATCCCAGCACTCGGGAGGCAGAGGCAGGCAGATCTCTGTGAGTTCAAGACCAGCCTGGTCTACATAGTGAGTTCCAGGCCAGATGGGGCTACAGGGAAACCCTGTCTCAAAAAGTCCAAAAAATAAAAAAATTAAAAAATAAAATAAAAAATAAGCTTGGTGTTTATGTACATTTGCTCTTTTCAATAACCTAACAAGTAAGTGCTGCACTCCCCTTTCCACAGATGAGGAGACCGAGGTTCAAAATGAGTAAGTCACTTACCCAGGCTCATTTTGCAAGTAAATAAAATGGCAGAGTCAAAACTGAACCTAAGCCTGTTGATTCCAAAGCCACTCTAGCTGAAGGCATATGAATTAGACCTTAGAGAGAATATGTGGGGATTTTTTTCTAAGATTGGGTGACCTCCCTTAATATTATCCATTTTAAGACCATTTTTCCTATAAATTTTGTGGTTTCTTTCTTTATGTATGTACCATATTTTCATTATCCATTCATGTATTGATGGACGATTATGTTGGTTCCATTTCCTTGCTATAGTGAACAGAGCAGCAATGAACATGGGGTAAAGGTATCTCTATGGTAGGTATGAAGTTCTCTGGGTACAGCTTAGGAGTGAGATAGTTTGGTTATATGGTATTCTATTTTTCAGATTTTGAGAACCCTCCAAAATGGATTTCCATAATAGCTGCACTGATTTGTACTCCAACAACTAGTAAAGTTCCTCTTTCCCCATACCCTCACCAACATTTGTTGTCAAATTTCTTGATGACAGAATTCTGACTAGGGTAGGGTGGCATCTCTAAGTAGTTTTAATTTGCATTTACATGATTTATTGTTCCTGAACCTCAAGAAGTTAGTTAAATGCCAGGAATTTGAAAACACTGAGAAATTTGCTTTGTTTTACTATATATTATAGTTCTAAAATGTATCACTGCTGCTAAATAAATATACATTGTTTTAAAATAATAATATTCCTTAAAAAGAGAAGAGCAAGCAGGTAAGTGCAGAGGGAGGGTCAGGGAAAATTGCTGGCCATCAAATAGTACAAGTGAGTAACAGCCATACAATTGCGGTGGAACACTATGCAATACCACAATCAGGTACTCTCCTATAAATTACAGTAAAAAAAAAAACTGAAGAGCATTAAAAAAGCCCACCAATTCAAGAGGGAAGAAAATAAACCCTACAATAAAAAAAAAGGGGTAGGTGGGAATATAGCTCAGTGGTAGAGCGCTTGCCTAGCATGTACAGGATCCTAGACTTGATCCCCAGCACAACTGGGGGGGGGGGGGGGGGGAGACACGTTTTTTTTTCTGTTTCTGGTTTTGTTTATTTGCTTCTGTGTTTTCCTTCGTTTTGAGACAGGGTCTTGCTATGAAAGCCCAGCTTCTATGGCACAGGTTAGCTTTGAACTGGCAATCAATCCTCTTGTCTCACCTTCACAAATGCTGGAATTACAGGAATGCAATAGCACATATAGCTGAGAGAATGTTCTTTCAAAAGAAAATTTCCAATTCATATTCACACTGAATATTAGCCTCTCAGTGGAGAAAGACTGGGGTGTCATTTTCTCATGCAACTAGAGTGCAAATTCATAAAGCTTTTTCTAGAGGACAATTTATTAAGGCAATTTAAGAATGTACATTGTAGGCCAGGCTTGGTGGTGCATGCCTTTAATCTCAGCAGGCAGATCTCTGTGAGTTCAAGGCCAGCCTAGTGTACATAGTGAGTTCCAGGACAGCTGGGCTACAGGGAGACCCTGTCTCAAAAAAGACCAAAAAAAAAAAGGGGGGGGGGGGGGGGGGCTACAGAGATAGCTCAGTGGTTAAGAGCACTGACTGCTTTTGCAATGGACCTGGGTTTGATTCCCAGCACCCACATGGTGGCTAACACCTGTCTGTAACTCCAGTTTCAGGGCATTCGATGCCCTCTTCTGACCCTCAAGGGCACTGCACAACATGGATGCACCTACCTACATGTAGGCAATACATTCATACACATAAGAATAATAAATTTTTTTTTTTTTATCTTTTGAGACAGGGTCTCCCCGTAGCCCAGCTGTCCTGGAACTCACTATGTAGACCAGACTGGCCTTGAACTCACAGAGATCTGCCTGCCTCTGCCTCCCAAGTGCTGGGACTACAGGCGTGCACCACCACACCCGGCAATAAAATAAACAAAAAAAAGAGAATATTACATCTAGAATTTATCTCAAGTAAACAATTATACATATGTAAAATTATGCGCGCGCGCACACACACACACACACACACACACACACACACACACAAAAAAAAACACACACACACAGCATTTACACCACATTGCAAATTGTTAAAAAACAGAACCAGGGGGCTGGAGAGATGGCTCAGTGGTTAAGAACACTGTTTGTTCTTGCAGAAGACCCAGGTTCAAATCCCAGCACCCACAGGGCCGCTAACAACTGTCAGTACCTCCAGTTCCAGGGAGTTACCGACAGTTGTTAGCCTCTTCTGTCTTCCGTGGGCACTTCATGACACAGGTGCACTTACCTACATGCATGTAATACATGAATACACATAAAATAAAAATAATAAAAAGTAAAATAAAATAAAATATTTAACAAAAAACAGAACCAGGCACAGCGGTGTATGCCTATAATCCCCGCACTTGAGGAGTTGAGGTCTGAAGATCACCAGCTGGAGGCTAGCCTAGGCTGAGTTCAAGGCCAGCCTGGGTAAGACCTTGTCTCAAAAAAACTGGAATCAACCAGGTATGGTGACATAAGCCTTAATCCCAGTACTCAGATGGCAGAGGCAGATAGATCTCTGTGAGTTCAAAGTCAACCTTGTCTATATAGCAAGTTCCAGGCCAGGTGGGGCTAACAGGAGACCCTGTCTCACAAAGAACAAAAAAACAAAAACAAAAACAGAACATTAGGCTCCTTGTTTGTTACAAAGGAATGCCAAGATCTTGAATTATTGATAAAATAACAGAAAAGTATACAAGTCAGGGTAAAAATTCTTATATCCCAATCTATAACTCCACAAATCAGAAAGCCAAGCTGTCAATACAAATCTCAGGTTAATTTTCCAAATTAATTTTATTCCCTTTCACATAAAATTCTCTTCAATTTGAAGATGATCTTGTCCTTCTTTGCATACTAAAAATACAAAGAACAGTATAGGATGTACGCAATTAATGCTCAAGTTAGCCTGAGAACAGTCGTTTTCAGTGATAAGGATTGAACTGTGGGGACCCATACATGGTAGACAAGTGCTCTAACACTGAGCTACTTCCAGTGCCAAGAATGAGAATATTTATGGATTTCTGACAACCTTCTCAACTTTCCTCAAAATATATAAATCCTGTGACTGAGTTTTGGCAGGTAAAGAGTTATTAGAAAACACAGTATTAGGGCTGGAGAGATGGCTCAGTGGTTAAGAGTATGGGCTGCGCTTGCAGATGACCCAGGTTTCATTCTTAGCATCCACATGGCTGCTCACAACCACCTGTAACTCCAGTTCCAGGAGATCTGATGCCCTCTTCTGGCCTCCATAGGCACTGCATGTATGTAGCCAAAGCAGGCAAAACACACAACACATAAATAAAATTTTAAAATAAGTAATAAAACAGTAATAATTTGAAGGTGACTAAAAGTAATAAGTGTGTATATATATACATATACATATGTACATATATACACATATATATATACATATATATATAAATCTTTACTTACTTTTTAAGTATAAAAGGGATGAAAATGAATGGAACTGATCAGGCACAGAAGATTTTGAAGATGGAGTAAGAAGATTTTCCTTGCTCTTCAAGAAGAAATCCACTGTATCTAGCTGGCGATTTTCTATCCCTGCCTAAAATGCAGGGAAAATTTGGGGGAAAAAATTACTTTGGGTTAGGGGGAAGGAAGACAGACGTTTCTAAATGTGAGGCCTTAATGTGAGGAGACTACAGGGGGATGAGGCTGTATTTACTATGTACAGGTACCTGGGCTCAAGTGAGGACTCTCATAATTTTTGTCTGATTTATTCTCTGAACCATCTTTCCACCTTGGCTTATGTCAAGTTCCAAGAACAGTTTGCCTTACAGCCAATCATCCTGACAGAAGTTGAAACCACACCCTTCTCAAGGAGTAAGGTTGCCCACAGGACCCGTATAACCAGATCTAAAAAAATGAACATTCAGATCACGACTTGACCAACACTGCTTAACCACACTTCCTGGTCCTTGCCTTTGTTCTTTTCTCCTACATAAGTCCCAAACAATTGCTAGTACCTTGAAGATAAGACTTAAGACACTAATCCTCCTGTCCTGTCCTCAGTGGTGGTCACTCTGAAATCTATTCCTTTCCTGATTATCATCACTTTATTCTCTATTGATAGAATCCTCTCTCTCTCTCTCTCTCTCTCTCTCTCTCTCTCTCTCTCTCTCTCTTTTTAATTTTAGTCCTGGGAATTGAACTCAGGGCTCTGGTCATGCTAGGCAAGTGTTATACCAATGTATATTCCCAGCTCAATTGGATTCTTTTGAGCAAGTGGTTGGCTCTAGATTTTGGGACTCCTGGAATGAAACCTTCAACAGTTTCAGATTCAGTAGAAACAGGCTATTAGACTAAATACCCTTCCAGCTCTATTTTACAATTCTAAAACTTCTTATTCAAAGTTGAGTATCCTGGGATTAGTCTGACAGGAGTTATCATCTATTTGAATAAAAAATACTACAGTAGGATGATAATAAATTAACTGACCCTGGGTTCAACACCCAGTACAAATAAATAAATAAGCTGGAATGTAGTTCAATGGTAGAACATTTGCCTAGCATGCCCAAGGTCCTGAGTTTGCTCTTCGGCATCACAAAAACAGAAACAACAACAACAAAATACTCCCATTTTTTACTTAAATATCTTGTGGAGCAGAGGTAGGTCGAATGACCTAGGGAAAAAAGAAGCAAAATGCATGGCTGCTCCAAGCTGATGCAACCCCAAAGCTAAAGACACAAGACCATTCACAACCAACTGAGACCAACATCATTGACTGAAATGACCACAAATGCCCTTTGCTTCAGAGTGGTATTTCCATATTATTATCTTTGCAAAATTGCATGCTGCCACCATTGACAGCAGTGCTATTTTCTCTCTCTCTCTTTCTTTCTTTCTCTCTTTTTCTTTCTTTCTTTCCTTTCTTTTCCTTCCTTCCTTTTTTTTTTTTTTTTTTTAATTTCCTTTCCTTTCTTTCATTTTTCTTCTTTCTTTGCTGTTGTTTCCCTGCCTCCTTTTTTTTTTTTTTTTTTAAGACAGGGTCTCCCTGTAGCCCCAGCCTGGAATTCACTATGTTGACCAGGCTGGCCTTGAACTCACAGAGATTCACCTGCTTCTGCCTCCCGAGTGCTAGGATTTAAGGTGTGTGCCACCATGCTGGCCGGTAGTGCTATTTTCAACTGGAATGTGAAGTAGGCCCAGGCCCAGACTCAAGCTACCTAATCACAGTCATTAGCACAACCCATAAGGCATGTCAGGTTACCAAAGCTTTCACTACATTCAATTATATACTATGTATAGATGAAAACGCTCTGAGAGATCTGAATAAAAAGTAATCAAGTTAAAAACCGTATCACTAAAATGGAGCTACTGGGGAGATGTGATACACAGAAACACCTCATTATTGAAGATCCCTATTATGGCAAAGTCTCGAACTTTGAGCTGGTGTAACAGCAGTGCCTTGGGTGCTGCAAGGGCTTTCCTGGAGAAGGCCAACTAGTTGGTTCTGCCCACCATGAGCTAGCCAGTGACTCACCAGTCTTGTGCCTGAGTGTGATAGCAATCCTTAGCCCCAAGTCCCACCTGTCTCTTCACCTGATCTGCTGTTTACTATAAACATAATTGAAGATGGAAATTAGCTGTATTTGCAAAAGAAATAAAAATATTTGCATCAGACAGCTTGAGATACAGTTAGCATTCTTAGAGTAGTTGAGCCTCTTACTTTGCCTTAATTAAAAAATAATGTGACATGCAAATATGAAACAAAATAGAACACATTAAAGAATATAGACTCAAGTTTGTCTCTATGCCTCTGAGTCCAATAAGACCTGGATAGTCTAGTCTATCTGGTCTGGGATCATGGCCAGCACCCAATGGCACCCTCTGCTAACCTCTCTACCCAGGCTCTTACAGTCACAATTACCCTGTCCATACCAGTCTTCCACTTAACATGACAAGAGTTTTAACTCAAGACACACTCAGGTTACATACTCATATTCAAAAGAGAGGAGAAGCTGGGTGTGGTAGCACACGTCTCCAATCCCAGCATTGAGGAGGGAGGCAGGAAGATCATGAGTCCCAGGCTAGCTTAGGCTACTTAGTAAGACACTGTCTCAAAAATTAACAACAATGATAAAGGCTGGAGAAATGGCTCAGCAGTTAAAAGCACTTGCTGTTCTTGCAAAGGACCTGGGTTCAGTTCCTGATACCCACATGGTGGTTCACAACCATCCATAACTCCATTCCAGGGAATCTGATGCCCTCTTTTGACCTCTACACAGGCACTGCATGACTAGGGTACACTTACATCCAAGCAGCCAAAACACACACACATAAATAAAAATAAATAAGGCTGCAGATGGTGGTACATGCCTTTAATTCCAAAAGAGGAAGGAGGATCCCTGTGAGATCAAGATCAGTCTGGTCTCCATAGCAAGTTCTAGGCCAGCTGGGGCTTACAGGAAGACACTATCTTGATTGATTGATGACAGATAGATAGACAGACAGACAGATAGATGATAGATAGATAAATAAATAAATAAATAAATAAATAAATAAAGCCAGGTAGAGCCAGGTGTGGTAGCACATGCCTTTAATCCCAGTACTTAGGAGGGAGAGGCAGGTGATCCTTGAGAGATCAAGGCCAGCCTGGTCTACACAGAGTTCCAGGCTAGCTGGGCCTACAGGGAGACCCTGTCTCAAAAAACAAAAAACAAACAAAAACTCTACGAATAAATATATAAATACAATCTTTAAAAATTAAAAAATAGTAATAAAAGACATATATAGTCAGCTGGGCATGGTGGCACACATCTTTAATTCCAGCACTCAGGAGGCAGAGGCAGGCAGATCTCTCTGAGTTTGAGGCCAGCCTGGTCTAGATAGCTGGGGCTATAGGGAAACCTGTCTCAAAAAGACCAAAAAAAAAAAAAAGACAGATACAATAGATGGGTGGAACTAATCTTTACCATTTTTTACTTTGATCTGTATAGTTTTCTCAGCTTATTTGCTCTCATTTGAGCCATTCTGCCTCTAATAATTTCCAGAAAGGACATCTGCATGTAGTATAATTGTAATCGGTACAGGGATATATCTGTTCATAGCACATGGAACACAACTGTCATGAATTGGCTTAGGTGTAAAAAGTATTTTAAAAAGTTGGAAAAGAAGTCCTATTATGCTGGTATGCTTAAATACCAGTCTGGTCATAACTGTTCTTTTGTCAGTGTTTTAATGACACGTAAATTCGTGAAGCATTCTATATTTTTTAAAAAAAAAGTGTTCAGGCAAACAGGTATTTCTGTGCATGTTTAGACAGTTGACCTCAACTGGATGTATGTCAGAAAAGGTTATAAAACAAACTTGGAGTTATTAAACACACACACACACACACACACACACACACACACACACACACACAGTGTGGTAGCACATGCCTATAATTCCAGCACTCAGGAGGTAGAGGCAGGAAGATTTGGAGTCCAACTCTGAGTCTAGTCTGGGATACTGGAGGCTCTTACCTCAAAAAACAAAAACCAAATAAAAACAGTCTTTCAGGGGCTGTGTCCTGATTCTAGTTCCTTTCTCTGTTAGTATGGTTCTAGGTCACTCACTCACCCACTATGTACCTGCTTTTTTTGATCTTTTTGAGACAGGGTCTCCCTGTAGCTCCAGCTGACCTGGAACTCACAGAGATTCAACTGCCTCTGCCTCCCAAGTGCTGGGATTACAAGCATGTGCCACCACACCCAGCATGGCTGCTTCTTAATCTACTAAACAAAGAGAATAAAAACTATCCAATCTACCTCATGTAATTCTTTTGGGACAAGTTAGATAAGCGCATATAAAAAAAAATGGGGGCTGGAGAGATGGCTCAGTGGTTAAAAGCACTGGATACTCTTCAGGTTCAGTTTCCAGCACCCACATGGCAGCTAACAACCATCCATAACTCCAATTCCAAGAGAATCCAATGCCCTCCTTCTGACCTCCACAGGCATTGCATGATGTGGGTACACTTACATTTACGCAAGCAATACACCCATATACATAAAAATATTTTTTTTAAAAAAGGGTGTGTGTGAAGTGCAAAAACGCTATGTAAATTCAGATCACATCTTCTAAAGGTGGATAGGAGCAGATGTGTGAGAGATAAAAGATCATCTCCACACAGCTCTCCATGGCTTGTTTCTACTCTGTTCCCTCATATTCACTCACTGTTGCCTCTACTTTCTGCAGCATTCCCTTCTTAAATTGTAGTTATCATACTCTCATATCTTTTAAAAACTAAACAGTCAAGCAGAATTGGGGAAATACAATAGTCAGACCTGGACAAATGAATGGGTGAAGGCTGTTGGATTATGTGAATTCTCTCAGATCCTCACTGAGACAAGGGTATGTGACAGCAGGTGTGGTGTGACAGATTGAATCCATTACCTCTAGAGCGTGAATAGGAATTGAACACCGTCCCCAGCCATTGAGATGACAAAGGGTGTCCACAGTGCCCGCACTTCCATGGATCATTAGTCTGTTTAAAAACTCCTCTTGAGTTAAACCAAACAAAATCAGAGAGAGCCCATTTTCTGTAGGAAAAATTAAAAGTAGCTTTAGTAAATTACTATGGATTTATATCTGTGAGTTTGACATCAGCCTGATCTACACAGTGCCTTCTAGGCCTGCCAGAACTACCTAGAGAGACTGTGTCTCAAAAATCTCAAAAAATAAATAAATAATCCCAAGTGCTGTGATTAAAGGCATGCACTACCACGCCCGGCCCAACCTGTATTATTCTTAGTATCTTTGTATCTTAACATTTAGCTGAAGAGAAATGAATTTAATTATAAATTATCAAGCATTAAACACATGAGACAATGTTACAAAGAATAATACTAAATTTTCTCCCTGAATGAGTACCATCCTGAAGTAAGACTAGGCACATGCAGTCACCAAGGTAGCACAAGTGAAATACATTATGAGGTCACACCTTTGGCCAGCAAGATGGCTCAGTGGGTAAAGACTGCCAAATCTGGTGACCTGAGTTCAGTCCCAGGACCCACATGGTAGAAAGAGAACCAACTCCCACCCATTGTCCTCTGACCTATACCAGTGCTGTATATACATACATACATACATAAACAATGACAGACACAGACACAGACACACACACACACACACACACACACACACACACAGGTGCAAAGTAAATAAATAAATTTTAAAAAGAAGACACACCTCTTAGCAACATGTTTCAATCTAATACAAGATATTCTCACCTGTCAGAACGAGGCACAGCTGCTGGTCTCCACTACTCTCTACAGGAATGCACTGGCTGAGAGACAAACACTCCAAGTTCTGAGTCTCCAAATCCCAGAGGACAATGGTACAGCTAGTTGTTCCCATGGCCCAAGTAAACAGTGCAGTAAATCCTGTTGCAGACATACACTTAAGCTCTGTGGGTTGCTCTTGTTCAGTGAGGTGCATTGTCTTCCATGATCTTCTTGGATCACTGGTCTTGATGTGCTCTTTCTGTGGAAAAGCACACTGGCCATGCAGCACATCCTCTGGAATAAAAACCCGGTTTAGCACCCTGAGAACATGGTTACCAGATTCAGTGGACTCCAAATGCAAAATACCCTGGAACCATGGAGCACAATAGGAAACCTCCAGTTTAGAGCTCTTTATTGTTTCATTCAGTGATGAAAGCTGGGCCTTCCAAGACCTAGAAGATAAGGTAGCACTTAACACCCATTACAGTGAGAGGCACTAAAGTTAAACACTAAGCCAGGATAAAAATGCTCTTTTAAAAGTATCTACCCAGAGCCAAGTATGTTGGTGCATGACTAATTTAGCACTTGGGAGACAGAGACAGGTGATCTCTGTGAGTTTAAGGTCAGCCTGGTCTCTCTAGTGAGTTCCAGGACAGCTGGGGCTACAGGATGTACAAGGAGACCCTGTCTCCTCTGTCTCAAAAAGACTACAACAACAACAACAAAAAAAAAAAACAAAACAAAAGTATCTACCCAGGAATAATGGCTTCTACCTGTAATCCCAGCACTCAGGAGGCAGAGACAGGCAGATCATTCTAAGTTCAAGGCCAACCTGATCTACATAGAGAGTTGCAAGTCATCTAGGACTGAAAGGAATAAAAAGAAGAATTAAAACAATCTACCAAGTAGAGACCTTTAGTGAAAATATAGTGTCTTACCTATCAACTTGAAAGGAAACCTTGGTCAGTTTCATGTTGTGGACAGAGTTAAGAGGATCATCTTCATCTATCCCCACTGGTCCTTGAATAGGAAGGTCGTCTGGTGTTCTTTCACAAAGCAGATGTCCTGGGTGTTGGCTACATTTAAAAATAATGAAAACCATCTTAAAAATGAAGACCAAACACAAATTTGTATTACAACTGTTCCTGTTAAAAATGGAGATGGACCACAGGGAAGGAATAGTACAAACAGTGCACCATGCCTCAGAGTGAAGGCTTGCTCATCTCCCTTGTAGCACAGCCAACACCAAGGGTCTGACCCTATGAAGTAGTTAACTTTTTAAAGCAAAGTGCATGTTCACTGTCTACCATACTGTAAATGTTGTACTGATCACTCCTATTTAAGCCTTACAACTGTAGCCCAGAAACAACTTAGTCCTCTGAAGAGCTACAGGCGAACATAGGGCTCCTTGGGAAGAAGGGTGGAGCCTAGTGTGGCAGGAGATTGGAAAGAAAAAAAGGAGGAGTTGGCACCATCTTGGAAGCAGGGAACAGGAGTGGGCGAGCCAGCCTGCTGTGGACACCATGGACCCCACACAGAACTCTGCGGGGCGACCGGGAACGTGCAGACGCGAGATGAGGCAGACTGTGGGCAAAAGCAATCCAAAACAGCAGGCTGTTGTGCTGCGGCATGGCACTGGGTGTCTGTTTCTTTGTAAGCCATCCCCCCACCAAAGGTATAAACTATGCAAAATTCAGATAAAAATGTGTCATGTCGTTTGTCTACCCGCATCAGGAGCACCAGACCCTCAAGGGAGTGAGGGCAGGTCAAACAGAGAGCAGGAAGGAGAAAAGTTAGTGTGAAAAAATTGGCATAGTTGGCAGGATAAGTGAACTGCAGGAGTCAAGAAGAACTCGATATGTGAGCCTGGGAAAGTGGCGTGGTTCCAGCAATATCTGGTGAGCCAACTGAAAGGGAGCTGGGTTCGGATTCCCAAATCCAGAAGGGCGGGGGGGGGGGTTCCGCAAAGAGTCCTGTGAGATAATGCAACCCATCCAGGAGTAGCTGGCAGGAACCCAGGGGAGAGGGCAGCCAAACCCTATATGCTTAATGGAGTTAGCAATAGCCATGTGGGTTATAGAATGGATTATAAAATAAGTAACTAAAAAGGTGCTGGCCATGCAAATGCATGGGCCACAGCTGTGTAAATGTGGGGAAAGAATCCAGCTGTGGATATGTAAAGACTTTTTAAAGGTTATAGAAAGGCTAGAAAAACTTTTACAGGCCTTGGACACAAGCGGAGAACCCAGAGAGAGGGCATGGCCACTTTGCATAATAAAAGATTTGTCCAGGGCAGGGGATGCTAAAAAGGCTAGGGAAGCACTGGAAGATTCAGTTTTAGCTGCAGAGCTTGAGAGAGAAAAAACACTGGACATTTTAACTTGTATGAGGTGCAAGGACTCAGGAAAAAAGACAGATAATAGTGGAAAAAGAAACAACCTAAAAATAAAAGTAGCTAAAGCTGCCCCTCAGATGCAACCTTGATAACAAAAAGAAAAAAAAAAAAAGCTATCAGTTCTGTAGCTAGGAAATACTCCACACTGGAATTGTTAAAACTAGGAAAAGCTTACAAGCAAGCAATCAAAAAGCCCCTCATCACGTGGTTCATGAGGGTATGGGACATGGGAGCAAATAACATCAGTCTAAGTCCTTCAGAGGCTTCACAGCTGAGTTATATAACCACCCATCTGTCCTTGTGATATAGGCTGTTCAACGAATGCAGTGGGGGAGCAGTCCTTAATGGGATGGCTGGTACAAGGCATTAAAGATATATGGTCATCACCAAGGGAAACTCCCATAATTAACAGAGGCTGGAGAACTATAAAGGAGGGACAGGCATTACTGAGAGAACTAGGTATGAGAAAAGCAATATATGATGCCTAGTTCACTGGGCCAGATAAGACTGTGTTCACCAGAGCTATAAAGAAAGCTTAATTCAACTGGGACCTTGAGAATGGTACTGAGCTTTAATGCTTTTGCTAAGCCCTTTAATGGGACAAGATCACTGTAAAGTGAGAGAGGCTTTAGCAGATCTAAGTGACTCTGACCAACATGTAAAACATGTCTGTAGAATAACAGAACACCCTACAAGAGATGTAAAAAAGACCAGACAGAATGAATGGTCTGTTTGGTTACTCGAAGACAAATGTGGCAAGACTTATCCCAAAGAAAAAAAATTGACAGAAAACAAAATTAGGTACTAAGGAGCTTCTGAAAGGCTTTAAAACTGGAAGTACAGTTTACAAAAGGCATTCAAAGGACAAAAACTGTCCTGGAGTGGTTAAGGATCCCCAAAGATTGAATAAGGTGCATTTCTCTCCTGATAAAGGCTCTGCTATGGGTGGAGGCAATTTTTCCCACCAGGGCCTTCCCTAGCAGCAAGGTATGGCCAACGAAGAGACGACAGATATGGCTACAGTCAGGAGGCAGACCCAGGACCTGCCTGACTCAGGGAACCAACAGGTGCAGCAGGGACAAAAGAAACCCCCTGCCTCCTTAGGCCAGTGCAGGGTCAGGCAACTGAAGCCAACACCTGTAAGTGTGTCAAGGATAAAAGAATACAAAGAGACTCCATGTAAGATCCCCAGAATGGGGAATGACTCCAAAGGGATAACTAAAGATAGTAAAGAACTAACCAAATTAATGCCTCTTACCCATGCTATGGTACCTAACAAAGATCTATGGATAAAAGTTAATATGAATGGATAAAACCTTTCCCTGCTGTGTTAGACCTTGTCTATGACTGATTTAATATATGATGTTAGCCTTTTAGTGTTTTATAGACGTGAAACCTATTTGAAAGATACCTGAAGAAACAAAGGCCAGATATAGCTGTAAGATTCTTGGGAGTTTTATGGTTGGGTAAGATTAAAACAGAGGCTCCCAAACTATACAACTGTTAAGAAAAACGACAGTACCAGGAGTGGGTTGTCTCCCTATGAGCTGTTGGTCAGAGAGAGATCCTAGAGGTCCTCAAATTTACCAAGGCTACTGCCACTAATGTCAGTTGTACACTAAAAAGGTTGGTAAGGCCATGTTGCTTGAAGACGCTGCATGATGTGAACATGGGAGAAGAGATGGAGCTGAGACTAAGCCAAAAACTCCATGCCACTGAATGAATGGATTTTATAGTGCCAGAAGATGTTATGCAGATGGTTGGGGGAGAAAGAATCCCCTATGATTCTACTCAACAATGGATCCTTCGTGCTGTACACTATAGACATGCCAAGCAATGCCTGCAAGTGCAATAATGGCTCAACTAACATATGTACAACTGAAAAATTTCTAATTGGATAAGGCCCACTCCTACCGGTGGAACACACATCTAGTACTGTAGACGAGGCCAACCCCCGGTGTCAAAAAAGGCTACAGGCCCCAGTGGGGAAGCTGTTGCAAGTATACTGTTTAATGAATATAGTACACCTACTGGGATATCTTCTAGGTATTTGTATTTACATTCATGTTTGTTTAGATGTGTCTACTTCCTTCCATTTGTCTTTATAGTATGGGAAACATCACCGTTATAGATTGGTGGCCATGTCTTAAAGATGAATGATGGAGAGGCCCAAGAAGTCACTATCTCGTGGTGATACAAGAGAGATTGCCCTACATCTGTCACTCCCTCCGAGGCTCAGGGACCCTTGTGGAAGGTTGGCAGAAAGATTGTAAGAGCTGGAGGAAAGGGGTGGCGTGTAGCCCAGAAATGACTTATTCCTCCAAAGAGCTTCCGGCAAGCACAGGGCACCCTGGGAAGAAGGGTGGAGTCTAGCGTAGCGGGAGATTGGAATGGAAGAAGGAGGAGTTAGCACCATCTTGGAAGCAGGGAACAGGAGTCAGTGAGCCAGCCTGCCATGCACCCCATGGACCCCGCAGGGAACTCTGTGGGGTGAGTGGGCATGCATGGACGTGAGATGAGGCAGACTGTGGGTGAAAGCGATCTGGAACAGCGGGCTGGGCGTGGGGTGTCCATTTCTTTGTAAGTCATTCCCTCCCCTCCCAAAGGCATAAACTATGCAAAATTCAGATAAAAATGTGTTATGTTAGTTTGTCTACCCTGAAGAGAGTGACGGTGGGTCAAACAGAGAGCAGGAAGGAGAAAAGTTAGTGTGACAACAACCTTATTTAAGTATAACCCATTTTACAGCTATGGAAACTAGAGCTCAGAGAAACAATGAACCAGGCTAATTTAACCATAAAGCTCAGATTATTTTGTGTAAGGGGTTAGGGTAGACTCATGCATGTGGAGGTCAGAGGACAACTTGTGGGACTGTTTTCCTTCCACCATATGGGTTCAAGTCATTAGGCTTGGCAGCAAGTGCCTTCATCTACTGATCCATCTCTCCAGACCCTCATGTCATGTCTTACCCCCTAAAATCCATCCTCCATAGAGCAGTCAGTCACATTTTAAAAATGTTTATCCTATCAGTGGTCTAGCTGGGCATTAACATCTGAGGGCAGAATGTCTACCTTTTTCTGAAGCCATGTGTTCTCGTCCTACCCTTTGTTTCATCATCTTCTTGACAAATGTGTTGGCATAATACCTTCCAAGTTCAAGAATTCTAAAGTGCTTAGATGGATTATAAAAGCTTTCCCCTCTCCCTAGCTACATTCTGCAGCTCATCATGCTGTTTTCTACTTACACTCCTTCTTTAGCTTCCTTCTGTTGTTAAGATACAAGTCAAATGTCCTTAATAGGCCACAAGGCTCTGAACCATCTGTCTCTAGCCAACTTTTCCAGTCTCATCTTACTCTGCCTCAATTTTCATTGCACTGTAGCTGCTACTGTGTTCTCTCTCTCAAACACAAGAGCCCTCTTTCCACACACCCTGTCCCATTCATACTCACACATATTTTCCCTTCTTATGCATTCACCTGAACCTGGCTTAAATTTTACATTGTGATGACAGTATAATGAGTGATTAAGATGTGAGTTTTGGGGCTGGAGAGATGGCTCAGCAGTTAAGAGCACTGGCTGTTCTTGCAGAAGACTGGGGCTTAAATCCCAGCACCCACATGGCAGCTAACAACTGTCTGTAACTCCAGTTCCAGGGGATCTGATGCCCTCTTCTGTTCTCCATGGGCACTGCATGACATGGGTGTACTTACATACATGTAGGCAATACACTCATACACATAAAAAAATTAAAAATAAATTTTTTTTAAATGTGAGCTTTGGCCAAACACATAAAATAAAAATAATAAATCAAACAAACAAACAAAAAGGAAATGACATGGGGAGACCATTTAGGTGGTTGTTATAACAGTTCCCATAAGAAGACAGTGGTATGGATTGGGGTGATAACAAGAGGGGTGAAAAGTGGTTAGACTTGAGAAACACTTAGGAGTAGAGGGGCTGGTACTTGTTGATTAAGTGGATCTGGATCTAATACCAAAAAGAGGTTAGAAATATAAAAAAAGAGAAGAAATGGAGAAAAGTCCCTGGGAGGGAGGGAGGGAAGAAATGAGGCTTCATAAAAGGCTGAAGGAGCTCCCAGTAGGTAACACTGCTTCCTTTAAAAATAGGAAGGATGGCTGGGCATGGTGCCACATGCCTTTAATCCCAGCACTTGGGAGGCAGAGGCAGGCAGATCCCTGTAAGTTCAAGGCCAGCCTGGTCTATTTAGTGAGTTCCAGGAGCTACAGGGTGACCCTGTCTCAAAAAAAAAACAAACAAAAAACACCATCCAAAAACAAAAACAAAAACATATATAAACCAGGAATAGCAGAGAATTCTTTCAAAGAGGAAAATTAACTCCTAATGTTGACAGGTTTGAAAAAGTAGAAAGCATGGTCATCCAAGAAAGGTAAGAGTAAAGAGATGAGTGGGTTTGAGTGTTAAAGACATTTTTGTAAGGCTAGGTGTGGAGATATATATCTATTATCCTAGGACTGGGAGACAGAGGCAGGGGGATCTTGTGTTTCAGGCCAGTCTAACTACAAAGTTAGTTGAGTTACAAAGTAACTCAAAAAACTAGAAATAAGGGGTTGGGGTAGAAAGCTTTTATGGTTTTTTCACAAGTGCACAACGCTTGGGTATAGGCACTAAGAACGCAGAATAAAGCTTTCATTTGGGATTAGTATTTTGCCACCTCAAGTGCTACCACAGAGCAGGAACAAGAGTTTAGCATGCATGCAAGAAACTAAAACAATGATCATACATCTACCTTGGAAAAGAGAGATGTGAAAGCAGGAGGGGGACAGAGTATGGAAGGAGGACAAGCAGGACATTCCAGTGACGTCAGAGAACAGGTACTTGAGTATGCAAGCTAAAAAGTTTGGGAAGCTGTGGTCAGAGTGACATGTGTAGAGTAGTGATCTGGGGAAAGTTTGGGAAGCCATAGTCAGAGCGACATGTGTAGAGTAGTGATCTGGGGGAGGAGTAATTTCAAATACTGACAAAGCCCAGGGCATGAGTATGAGAATGGACAACTGAGGTCAAATGGAAGAAAACATCTCTGACCAATGAACTGAACAGAAGCTGAGCTGTAAGGATCCCCTGAGTTCAGAGATTAGCCTGGGCAACATAGCAAGACCTCCTCTCAAGACGGGGGAAACATCTGAAAGAACAGACCATGAGTTTGGGTTCTCAATGAACATTTATAAACTCTATAGGAGAAAATGAAAAAGTAAGGAAATAATATAAGACGACACAGTTAAGTACTAAACTCTGACTCAAAAGCAGAAGTACCACAAACATTCAAAGAGAAGAAAAATTATGAGACAAGTCTAAAATTGTAAGTAGAAATAGTGTTAGAAGTAAAGAATTTCAAAAAAGAGGTATATTTCAGTGGTGGGGATGAACAGGATAGGATAGGATGAAAAGGAGGCTAATGCTTTGTGTCTGGGAAAGAAAAGCTCCAACTACAAGGCAGGAATGACAAAAACACATCTGGACTTCAGAGTACACTTGGAAAATAAAGTATGCAGCCAACTCTGGAGAACTGATATTAAACAGCACTCATATAAATAATAAGCACAGATTATTCATTTAGTTGGACAGACCCCTAAATTTGCTACAGGGAACAGGACAGTGCCCTCTTAAGGTACTGTTGAAACATTAAGAGAACTCCACATTCAAGGAGTTTAATAGGTGAACAGACTCTCCTTCCCCACCATTCAAACTGTTTTCCAAATGAATGAACAGGAGATAATTCTGCAAAAACTACCTTACTGATAAACAAGAAAACAATCTAAGAATATACTAATTACCCCTGCTCAACTATCCAAAAAAATAAAGCTAGGTGTGATGGCCACTCCTATGATCCCAGCACTCAGCTGAGGCAAGAGGATTATGAGTTTGAGCCCAACCTGGGCTACATCTTGAGACCATGTCTAAAACAAAACAAAAAGTAAATCAGATCATAATATTGCTTCTTCCCTCTCCCCCAGATGGAATTCCTTTAATGCCTACATGTTTTTAGAATAAAGACCAAATATAAATAATACATAAATAGACATTTAAAACAAATGAGATGGGTTGGAAAGATGCCTCAGCAGTTAAGAGCACTGGCTGCTCTTGCAGAGGACCCAGGTTCAGTTCCCAGTACCCACATGGTGGCTAACAACCACCCTTGACTCTAGTTCCAGAGGATCTGATGTCCTCCGCTGGCCACTGTAGGCATTGCATGACACAGATACACCTACACAGACACAGGCAAAACATTAATACACTTAAAAACAAAATAAATTAAAACATTTTAACAAAACAAGGAGTTAGAGGTTAGTTCAGTGGTAGAATGTTTGCTTGCCTAGCATGACTGAGGGCTTGGGTTTGATCCCAGGCATCAAAAGAGAAAAAAGAGACATCACAACTGTAAAAATACTTGGCAAATACATAAACATAAATTTACTCTTTTCAATGAACCAAACAATAAGCTGTGAAACTCATCAAACCATGTCCAACTTCTCAAGGATTTATATATTCACATTAATGTAGAATTAAAAATCTTTATGGTTTTGAGTGGCCCTAAATATTACATAAGTCATAATTGTTCACAGGCCTATTTTTAGATCAGTAAGCTACAATAAAAAGACTGCTAAAATATAACACACACCCTCAAACATAAAATTAGAAACAACTAGAATGCCTACATCTAAAAGCACCACAAACAAGCATTCAGCTATTACTGATCTACCTAGACACCCACAAATTCAGTTTCTCCAAGGGAAATACCCTTGGAAATCCCCAGACAGAAAAAACTAGCTGAATATAGCTTCTTTTATGAGGAACATAAACCACAAGGCAGCCAGAATTCCAAGTCACAAAAGCAACAACTCTAATAACAAGGTAAATTCCACTATCTTATGTGGGGCAAAAGGTAAGGGGATAATACATAATAAGGGACTTTTAAACTGTATGATCCAGATTGCTTCCTTGTTACTTATATGACATAACCCTTACGTAACACCACGTAAGTCAAAAGCAAATCTTTGATGCACAATGTGAAGATACAAAGGTGGCCAGCAGTCATTTATGCATATTCTTACACAGTAATAACCTCACTGTACTGCAGCTTAATGTGATCTAACTGCATCAAAAAGCTGGGTTTCTTAACACAAACATTTTCAACTGCTTATAGTTCTGTTTACCTCAAATTAGAAATTCTAGTAACCTGCTTACCTGAAATACAAATCTAGGTCAAGAGCAACTGCAGTGCTGGAGTTGCTGACAATCACCAACACATCCAAGTCTTGAGCCACTTTCAATGACGTAAAGGACGAAGTCCTGGCTGATTCCTGCTGTTGCTCATTACAAGAATCTTCTTGGAGAAGTGCTAAGTCTACATTAGCTACATGCATGCCATTCACAGTGTTAAAAATATCTTTTGAGTTAGAGTTAAAGGAAGCATCAGTTTTATAAATATATATAATCATTTAAATCACAGGATGGGCAGAGCTATAGGCTTTATTGCTATCACCTTGTAGGTATAACAGGAGGAAGATATTAAAACTGAGGCAGTATACAGGCATGGTAACCAAATCACTACAACCTACTTCAGAGTTCATTCAATAGGCTGGAAACCCACACTGTACCACCATTGAGACACTACTATTTTCTATGAGGGATCTACATGAGTGCTGCCCAAGAAATTAAGTAAACTTAACTTTAATGTTTCATATTAGCAAATGTGCTCAAATATTATCATTTCAACACGTAACCAATATTAAAAATTGAGATTTTTCTCATAAGTATATATAATCTAAAGTACACTTATAGTACATCTAAATTTGAATTAGTAAAATTTCACCAGAAATACATGACCTGTATTTAGACCTCACAAAATCACAGTTGAAAAGTTGGAGAAACTGGGCTAGAGATGTAGCTTAGTTAGTAGAGTGATTGTCTAGCATGCATGAGGCCCTGGGTTTGATCCCCAGCACCATATAACCTAAGCATGGTGATTCAAGTCTGTTATACCAGTACTCAGGAAGTAGAAGTTAAGAGCCAGGTATTCAAGGTCATCCTTGGCTAAATATCCGATACAAGGCCAGTCCTGTATCTAAACTTAAAACAGGCCAAGACCCTGTTTTAAGCTGGGCATGGTGGCGCACACCTTTGATCCCAGGACTCAGGAGGCAGAGGCAGGTGGATCTCTGAGACACTGTTTAAAAAAAATTGGAGAAACTTATATTTATTCTAAATATACTTAAAACTCTCTAATACCTGGTTCAAGATCAGCTTCTAATCATGAAGCAATGAAATAAAATGAGAATTCTAAGTCATACCTAGACAACTGCAAATGCTCAACAGTCACATATGCCCAACAGCTGCTACAGTAGACAGAAAAGTTCTACTATTTGGCAACAAAAATTAAGTCATCTAGTATTTTTAACATTAAAAGAAACTATATAGTTAAAATTGGAAAAATCATCCCTTTGGGGGAAGCTGAGGCAGGAGGATCACCATGGGTTTGAGGCTATACTGGGCTACACAGTGAGTTTCAGGCCAATCTCAGTTACAAAGTGAGACCCTGTCTCAAAAAAACAAAATAGTTGAGCATGGTGGTACACACCTTTAATCCCAGCACACAGGAGGCAGAGGCATGCAGATGGCTGAATTCAAGGCCAGCCTGATCTATACAGTGAGTAGGCCAGCTAAAGCTACATAGTGAGACCCTGTCTCTAAATAAATAAGCAAACAAACAAAAGTAAAGGACTTGGATGTAGCTCAGTGGTAGAGCACTTGTCTAGCACATGTGAGTCCCCAGGTTCAAACCCCAACACAAGCGGGGGCGGGGGAGGATCCTTCCTTTACTTCAGAAATAAAAATCTCAAAATCATATAAAATATGAAATAAGTCTCAAAATCATATAAAGTGTCATTTTTTAAACCTTCAAATTAATTTTGCTGCTAGAGACAAAGAAATAGTTTCAAAAAATGTTAACAATAGTTGAGCAAACCATTCACTAAAATGATAGTGTGGTGACTCAAACTGGTAATCCCAGCATTTGGGTATTTGAGGCCTCAAAAAAAAGTGAATTATATTCATGTAAAAAGACATATATCAGAACCTAAGCAGTAGTCAGATAATACGCACTTAATAAGTACAGTTTATGAGTAAATAATGCAGAATACATACAATTTGAAAAGAATGTAAATATGAGCAAGATGATTATGACTATAAAAAATATCTATACACTGGAAGATACAAGATGATACAGGAGAATATTTTTCCCCCCTGGAAAGTCTAACTGAAAACTAAGTACTTTTCCTTCACTCCAGCCCCCCAAATTAAAAGTATAAAAGGCTCATCTTTCTAGCTATTTTCCCTACAGATCAGTCAACATCTTTACTGCCAAGGATACAGATCCAGTCTAATGTACTCAGCACAAAAAGAACTCCTCTGCAGAGCTGCACATCGATAATCGTTTCCACTGTTTGTGCGGGCAAGGACAGTGTCAAACAGCTGAGCACTCTCATCTCAGCATCTCTCTCAGGAAACAGAACTCGTAGGACGATACATCTGTTGATGAACAATAATGATGTGTTGTCGTGAAAGGAGAGGATTTTCAAAGACTGTAAGGAAACACCTATGAAACAAAAAAGATATTCCACACTCACCACTGTGATCTTATAAACATAAGACAAGTTAAAAAAAAAGAAACTTGCCAGGCGTGGTAGCGCACACCTTTAGTCCCAGGACTTGGGAAACAGAGGCAGGCAGATCTCTGTGAGCTTGAGGCCAACCTGGTCTATACAGTGAGTTCCAGGCCAGCTGGGACTACAAGGAGATCCTGACTCAAAAAGAAAAAGAAAAAAGAAACTCTACTTATTCTAAACTTAAGGCAGTTACAGTTCATATATGTGTGTGCAGGTGGTCATTAGGAATGTCACCATCTTAAAGTTAGCTATCAGGAAGACACAGTCCATAGCTTATAACCAGTGTAGATCTGTACTTTCCAATAAAACATGTGAGTCATAAATCCATGAGACATACATGATTCAATGTGACTAATGGCCAAAGAAACAGGTGAAATTAATTTAATATATATTACTTAGTTCATTATATACAAAATATCATTCCAATGTGTAATTACTATAAAAAGTTATTAATGAGATGTTTTGCTTTCTTCATACTAAGACTTCAAAACCTGGTATGTAAAGTCAGACTGGGGTGCAGGCCTATAATCCCAGTTACTCAGGAGGCTGAGACAGGAGGCTGAGAAAGGAGGATTGTAAGGCCAAGGCCAACCTAGGTAACTTTGTGAGACCCTGTCTTCAAATTTAAAAGTAAAACAAGGCCTGGAGACCTAGCTCAGTGATTGACTGCCTAGAATTCATGAAGCCATAGGTTCAATCCCCAGCACCATAAAAAGAAAAGAAAAATACACGACATACATGACATGTTCTGTTTATTTTTCTGAGATACAGTCTTACTAGGCACCCCAGGGTGGCATCAAACTTGAGATCCTCCTGCTTCTGCCTCCCAAGTGCTAGGATTACAGGCATATATCAACTTCCTTGGCTGTCACATTTAAAGTACATCTGCTAGGGGCTGGAGAGATGACTTAGCAGTTAAGAGCACTGGTTGCTCTTGCAGAAGATGTGGGTTTGAATCCCAGCATCCACATGGCAGGTAATAACCACCTGTAATTCCAGTTCCAGGAGATCCAATGCCCTCTCTGTCCTCTGTGGGCACTGCATGACATGGGTGCACTCATATACATGTGGGCATAACACTCATACACATAAAATAAAAATAAAAAAATAAAGTACATCTCTAGGCTGAGGATGCAACAGGGGTAGAGAGCTTGCTGAGAATTCATGAAACCCTGGGTTGGATCCCTAGTACTGCAAAAATAAAATTAAATTAAAAGTACAACTTTATTCATATTAATCACATTTCAAGTGCTCAATAGCCTAATATGGTTAAGGGTACTAGACAAAATAGACCTCTGTTACTGATTTCATTTCTATGAGAGCTTCTGGTAAAATACATAAAAGAACATGGTAAGTTGGTCATGGTGGCATACACGTAATTCCAGCATTTGGGAGGCTGAGACAGGAGGATCACAAGTTTGAGGCCAGTCTAGGTTACACAGTGAGACTGTGTCTCAAAAAAGTAAACAAAACAAAACACATAATGTAACAAATTTAAACATGATACTTACTAATACCTTGATCTTCAATGAGCTTTTCCAGTGTCTTCCCACTACAGCTGTATAATAAGGCTGCATCACATCTTCCATCTTTCAAGTTAAATTCATACATAAACAGCTTATAATTTTCACTAAAAGCAAGCAGCTTGGGCTTGTCTGTTGATGTGCTGCTGTTACGAGACTCCTCCCATACAAAGCTAAGGAAAAAGCTTAGATTTATTATAGATTCTATATCCATACTCACATTTACAATAGCAGAGATCAAAGGGAGGTTGAGAACAGTTTAGCTCACGTCGCACTAATTCTATACTCTGACTTTAGAGACTGTAAACTACTTTAAAACTTTCCTTGTCTTCCCTCCATTTCCACAGTTCTTCCCACTCTGGCCCCTCTACACTAACAAATGGGCATAGAAAGCAGGTTCCTTCATCTTTTTAAAAATCTTTTTTTCCAGGGCTGGAAAGACAGCTCAACAGTTAAGAGCACTGACTATTCTTGCAGAGGACCCCAGTTCAATTCCCAGCACCCACATGGCGGCTAACAAGCATCTGTAACTCCAGTTCCAGGGGATCTGATGCCCTCTTCTGACCTCCAAGGGCACTGCAGGACACAGATGCACCTACCTACATACAAGCGATACACTCATACATATTAAATAAAAATAAAATACTTTTTAAAAAGTCTTTTTTTTCCATCTTCTTATTCATTTACCTTGAATCTTAACTAGTATCTTTAAAGAAACTGTCATGAAGGATAATTACCAACAAGCAAATATACTATGTATACAATTAATAATGGATTCTGGGGCTGGAGAGATGGCTCAGCAGTGGTGAGCACATGCTGTTCTTGTAGAGGACCTGTGTTCAGTTCCCAGCAGCTACATGACCATCTGTAACTCCAGTTCCAGGGATATGAGACTCTCTTCTGGCCTCTGCAGACACCAGGCACATACATGGCACACATACACATAGTCAAACATTCATACATATAAAATAATAAAAATAAATGTTTAAATGGGCTTTTGCTGGGTTAAATAATTTCAGATTTTAAAAAGAAGTGATTCTTTGCATCTATGGACCTTGAACACTACTGAATAGTATGCTAGAGAACAGCTCTGCTCAATAGAACTTTGTGACAATGGAAATGTTCTATATAAGTGTTGCTCAGGACAACCAACAACCAGTAGGCAGATGTGGCTATAAAGCACTTGAACTGTGGGTTATACAACTGAGGAACTGAATTTTTAACTTAACTGAATTTAAAAAGTCACATGTGGGGGGGCTAGAGAGAGATGGCTCAGCAGTTAAGAGCACTAACTGCTCTTACAGAAGACCTGGGTTCGATTCCCAGCACCCACATGGCAGCTACCAACCGTCCTTAACTACAGTTCTAGGGGAATCTGAAGCCCTCTTCTGACCTCTGCAGCATTACATGTAGGCAAAATACTCATACACATAAAATAAAAATAATAAATAAAATATTTTATAAAAAACAAGTCACATGTGGCTAATGATTCTCATACTAGACAACATAGTCACCAATACTGGCTAATAAGGGTGGAGAGAGACTAAATGTATTAAATTACATTTTAAAAATAAGGACTGGGGAGATGTTTCAGGGGATAAATTGCTGGCCCCACAAGCTTGAAGACTGGAGTTTGGATCCTTAGAACCCACGTAAAAGTCAGGCAGGTACACTGGTATCAGCACTCAAGAGGCAGAGACAAGAGATCCCTGGGGCAAGCTGGCTAGCTAGAATTTGAGAGCCCTGGGTCCAATGAGAGACTCTGTCTCAGAAAATAAGGCAGAGGGCCATTGAGATGGCTCGGGGGTAAAGGTGCTTGCATGCAAGCTTGGAAACCCAAGTTTGATTCTGAGAATCCATGTAAAGGTAGAAGCAGAGAATCAACTCCACAGAGTTGTCCTCTGACCTCTGCATGCAGCACATGCTCCACCCCCCATCATACACACACACACACACACACACACACACACACACAAATAATAAAAATGTTAAATTATTGCAAATGAAGTGGAGAGTAATCGAGGAAGACACCCAATGTCAACCTTAGGCCTCCATCCATCCATCCATACACACACACACACACACACACACACACACACACACTCACACACACACATGCACACACATACATGAAAAAATAAAGTAAAAGGTCTCAAGTCAGTCACAGTGACACACACCTATAGTCTCAGCTACTCAGAAGGCTGAGGCAAGAGGATCTCTTGAGCTCAAGGATCAGGTAGCCTAAGCAACACAGCAAAATGTTATCACTAACTATACATATATAAGTGAGATGTTGTTGTGTTTCAACAATAATCCCATTTTTTTGGAGGCTGAGGCAGAACGATTGAGTTTGAGGCTAGCCTGGGCTACATGGCAAGAACCTACCTCAAAAAAATCAATCAATAGGGTCCGAATCTGAAAACAATGTAGTTGAAAAGAAATGAGGGTACCATGCTGATAAAAGTTTCATCTTCTTTTTAAAACCTTCCTTTTTCTTTTTTTTTGTTTTTGTCTTTTTGAGACAGGGTCTCTCTGTAGCCCTAGCTGGCCTGGATTCGCTATGGAGACCAGGCTGGCCTCGAACTCACAGAGATCGGCCTGCCTCTGCCTCCTGAGTGCTGGGATTAAAGGTGTGCATCACCATGCCTGGCTTAAAACCTTCCTTTTTCTATAGTGGCAAATTTTATATTAACGTGGGAGCTATTATGTCTGTACAAGGAAGAAAGACTGACATTTCCTATTTCTGCCTATTATATACCTAGACCAATTTTTTTCATTAACCCAATTTCTAACTGTTTACACTGAAAAATTGGGAAACACTCTAAATGCCAAATATTGAAAAAGTTAAAAATATTTAAAAGGGGGGGCCAGAGAGATGGCTCAGCGGTTAAGAACACTGGTTGTTCTTGCAGAAGACCTGGGCTCGAATCCCAGCACTCACATGGCAGCTAACAACTGTCCCTAGCTCCAGTCCTAGGGGATCCAACAGCCTCTTCTGACCTCCATGGGCATTGCATGACACGGGTGCACTTACCTACATGCAGGCAATACACACATACATATAAAATAAAAATAATAAATTTTTAAAAAAAATTTAAAAGGCAGAACACTGTGATACCCCATTAAAATCATTAGCACAGGCCAGGTGTGGTGGGACACACTTTTAATTCCAGCATTCAAGAGGCAGAGGCAGGCAGATTTCTCTGAGTTCGAGGTCAGCCTGGTCTATATAGCCAGTTCCAGGCCAGCTGGGGCTACAGGGAGACCCTGTCTCAAAAGACCAAAATAAGTAAATAAATAAAATCATTAGCACATAGACAATACTGCCACATGGAAAGACAGGAAATTTGATGAAGAGAGCAAAATATATGACAGAAAATTTCAACTATATAACAAAACCTATAGGGGCTGGAGAGATGGTTCAGCAGTTAAGAGCACTGACTGCTCTTGCAGAGGGCCCAGGTTCGATTCCCAGCACCCCACATGGTGGCTAACAACCATCCAAACTCCAGTTCCGGGGTAATCTGACACCTTCTTCTGACCTCCATGGGCATTCCATGACATGGGTGCACTTACACACATGTATGTAATACATTCATACACATAAAATAAAAATAGTTTTAAAAACCTATAAACCAAATGTGGTAGTGTAGTGGTGCTCACCCATAATTCTACTTCCTGGGAGAGCTGAAGAGGGAAATCAAGAGTTGGAGGACAGCCTGGGTGACACATCTCGGGACCCTGCCTCAAATAACAATTAAAAATCTATATACTTTGAGAAAAGTCAAAAGTAAACTGTAACTATTGAAACACTGCCCTTGTTTTTACCCTAGAGCACATTCTAATTGAATCAAAATTTAATTCAATTCAAATTTTAAAAAACTTTAAAGGGGCTGGACAGATGACTCACTGGGTAAGAGCACTAGCTGTATAAGCATGAAGACTTGAATTTGGATCTGAATATGGCTCACACCTGTAATCCCAGCACTGGGAAGTGGAGACAGGAGGCTTGTTGACTAGTGAATGTAGCCAATCCAACTCACCTGTGAGCTCCAAGTTCAATCCAACTCACCCATGAGCTCCAGGTTCAGTGAGAGGCCCTGTCTCAATAAGAGTGATATAGAGGAAGTGATATCAAGAGTGATATAGAGGACACCCTATGTTGCTCTCCAGTCTCCACATACACAGGCACTTATACAAATACCACACATACAGTAAGAAAGGCAAGCTGGGGATATAAAGATTTTCTGTATGAAATACACAAAAATTCAATAAAAAAATTTTTTTAAAGGCAAGCTGAGCATGGAGGGGCCTATAATCCCACCACTCAGGTAGAGGTAGGATTAGTTCACAGCCTTCCTTGGTTCAAAGCCAGCTTGAACTACATGAGACTGTCTCAAGAAAATAAAAGGGGGGTTTAAAATATTTGCTGTTTCAACAAACTGATCTGTGTCAAGTGCGTCTAGGATCTGGAGATTCCAAAGTGAGATCTCAGATTGATTCTAAAATACTATTATTAAAGAGTCCAGCAACATACTTGGAGTATTCCTAAATTTTTTTATGTAAACTGTAAATCCTGTACTAAGAATTACGGAGGTGGAAAGTGGTGCATTATTCTTAGTTGTCTCTACCTTCAAAGTAATGGGAGCCTCACTTCTAAGAAATAGCAACCATAGCGACACAAACCTGTAATCCTGGCATTAGGAAGGCCAAAGCTGGGGATCCTGAATTGCGGGCCAGCCAGGGCTACCATAGTAGGCCTGTGACTCAAAAATGAAAACCACAGGGGTGCGGATGTCGTTTAGTGATGGTAGATGGCTTGCCTAGTGTGTATGAGGCCCATTTCTATAATTTTGTTGAATAAGTGAATAGACAAACTCTCCTTTAAAAGGGGCGGGGCAAGAAAATGTTTCATGGACAAAAAACAGGTATCCAGAATGACTTAGCGATAAGCCTCATCTGGCATCTTTAAAATTAGCACTCCTGTGACAACCTGCGTGGAATGAAAGTCAGCCAGCACCTGTGCTGAGTCCCATTCCCCGGGTTCGCAGGGACTGGGGGAGCAGCTTTCTCCGCCCACCCAGGAGGAGGAAGTAGTGTGGAGATGCAACGACGTGAGCACTTTACCTTGAGCAGGAAAAAGGTTCCAAGAGGAATTGGGCTTGCTATGGAGGCGTTTTGGGGCTCTCATCCCCCTCCCCCTCCCCACTCTGAGAGGAGGATCTAGGAGTCCTAGGGCAGCTAAAGTTTCAAACTCCTCCCACTCTACCGGAGCACTTACTGCCCAAAGGGGCCGTCCAGGCTGCAGCTGCTTCCGCCCCGACTGCCCGGCGCCAAGGAAAGCACTTGGAGACTGCCCCCAGCCGTCAGGCTCCCCAGGGCCTCCTGCTCCCGGTGCAGCTGCGCCCGCGATCCCAGCTGCACAGACGCTTCGGTGGCAACCGGCACGAGTAGTATTGACAGAACCCGCTCCGTGGCCCCAGCTGAGCCGTGGGATACAGCACTTCCGACCCCCGGCTTAGCAGCCATCTTGGCTCAGGCGTTCCTTCCGGTCGCCAGCGCCCAACTGTGGCGGACCCTGAGTGCGTCATGGACATGCGCGGTGTTTCATACCGCTGTGCACAGGCTGCCGTATGACTCTGGTCTGAACCGCCGCAAGGCTTGTTATTTTCTTTCCTTGGGGCGGGTGTAAAACCACACCCTTCCGCTCAGCTCTACAGAAGAACGGGAGCCGAGTTTTGCAACCTGAGGCACGCGGTCGCAGCTGATTCTGCTGTGGTATTACTCAATACCGTCTTAGGCTGACTGCCTTAGTCGGAGCCCAGTTGCTGCCCCTCCTCTTCACTTTTTCTGCCATTGTTTGGCCCTAGGTTGGTGCCCTTTTCTTGGTAGCAAGAACTAAGTCCTACAGCCCAGAACTATCATGAAGTTGATGTCGAATGATATTCCTTAAAATAGGCAGAGAGATGGGACGAGTACAGGCTGGAGATGGTAAAACTCAGGTTTCTTCTGTTTTCCTCAGGGAAATACAATGTGATACAGAAGAGAAGCAAAGGGGGTTGAGGGTATTGAAAAGGCGTACCTTTAAAAGTTATATTTAAAACCTGGCTCAAGTTATGTATCCCAAATGGCCTTGAACTCCTTGATCCTCCTGCAACAGGCTCCAGGATACTGGAATTACTGGAGTGTGTTGCCACACCCAGTAAGCAAGTATCTTTGTTTTTTGAGACAGGGTCTCCCTGTAACACCAGCTGACCTGGAACTCACTGTGTAAACCAAGCTGGCCTCGAACTCTCAGATCTGCCTGCCTCTGCCTCCTGAGTTAAAGGCGTGCGACTCCATGCCAGCGTTAACTAAAATATCTTAACATTCTCTTCCACAATCAGAAATTTCAGCTAAATAGTAGCCTCTGGTGACAGGCCTCTCCAGATCATTCTATGTAAGCCCTTGCCACTCCACTCTCAAATCATCCTACGTCTCTCCCACAGAATTTATTACTAATATATTTTTTAAATATATTTTTCTCTGCCCCTAAATATTTTTACTTATTTTGAGTGTTTGCCTGCATGTAAGTGCACCTATGCACTTCCCTGTGGAGGCCAGAAGAGGGCATCAGATCTCTGGAACTGGAGATGCAGTTGTTAGCTGTCCTGTGGGTGCTGGAAATTGAACCTGTTTCCTCTGCAAGAGCAGCCAGTGTTCTTAACCACAGAGTCACCTCTCCAGTTCTCATTGATGTTTTCTGTCAGTTCCTGTCCAATCAGTATGAAAACTTGAAAAGAACAGGACTTTCTCACTGTTACCCTCTTGCCCAGAACTGAACCTGGTTCTTAAAAGGCATTCAGTATTCCTTGATGAACACATAACTTCGTTTGTCGAAATTCAACCAAACAGGAAAAGATCCATAACCAAATCTCTTAACTTTAGCTTAACTGTTTTGTTTGCATAAAGTTTGGCAACACAGAAGCAACTTCTCAGGTTATAATTTTATTCAATACAACAAGGCCTTGTCCCTTATAAAGATGGGCGTTCTTGACATGTTCACAAAGGTGGCCTTCATCATAATCCCTACCTTACAAACTCCAATATTATTTGACTCTTTAAATTATACCTAAAGCCATGCCTTAGTTTAGGCACATCATTTAGCTTTTAAGAAAGGATATGACAATGCCCTCCAGTATATTGAGGTATAAGAAATATCTTCAGACTGTATCACTCCAGACAGCTTATATAGCTGTTTCTGATGTTTAAACTCCTCACATATGGATTCCAGAACAAACCAATCAGTAGATACAGGTAAGCCTACAAAGAGAACAGAAGTTAACTATAAACAATTCCGTTTTACAAGTATTTGTGTGATTTAATTAATACCTGGCTCATAAATACCACAGTACAGCTGGTAAGTTCTAAGGACAGAGATGATATCTGTGTTATTTCTACTTATATTCTGGATTTTTGCTCTCAACTATTTCTTGAATTAGTAATTCAATTTACCAAATTTATGGCCCTCAAATAGCACTACAAAAAAGCACTTAGGAATAAATCAAAAGGTTTGACTAAAGAAATTGTCCACAGAGTCCTAATGTGGTCCAAACTGATTACTCAGTAAATGTAAGAGTATCTAGAACTTCTTTTTCATTAAAAAAAAACAGTGTATATGCACATGCATGTGTGTTCATGGGTGCATGCCACAGTGAGCATCTGGAGGTTAGAGGATGACTTGCAGAAGTTTGTTTTCTCCTACCATGCAAGTCATGGGCATCAAACTCATGTCATCAGGCTTGGTGGCAAGTGCCTTTACCCAAATGACACATTCTTGCAGGCTCTAGAACTACTTCTAAGTTCATTATTTTCCATGCTTAGAGTTTAAAAGAAATGAGGTGAATGAACCTAGACTGGGCTTGAAAAAGGGACTGTGACTTTCTGTCAGCACTTACTCCATCCTGGCTTCTAGCTGCTGAACTAATTGTTTGTCCACATGGTGACAGAACAGGGGAAGTAGGTTTCTGGGGAAGGTTAGTGGTTCTGCCAGAGAAGCTGTGGGCATTCGGGCTATCTCCCAGGCAATCAGTATCACCAAGTCTGTCCTAGAAGGCAGAAAAGAAAAGTCTTTGTATTTATGGAGGAAACTGATACTCTAGGAAAGGTTCCTTCTTACCCTGCCACCAGTCCTATTGTCCACCTCACAGCAATGAAGAGGTGTCCTCTGGATGAATATTTGGTGTGTGCCAGACATGTTTACACATCTTCCTATCTTAATGACTCAATGAGTTAGTGCTATCATTCCCAATTTATAGACTAAGAACTGAAATGATTTGTTCCAAAGTTATATCGCAATTAACAGGTCTGTTGACTCTAAAGCTTATTCTCCTTAATTACTATTATATTGTCTCTCATGGGAAACCAACATTCTAGGATACTATGTTGCAGGGAAACAAACTGATACAATCTTGCTATTTCTTCTTTCTCTGCCCAACCTCCTCCCTAGTACTTGAATGTTACTCAGGAAATCTTTAACCTGGCAGGCCAGACATCTAAGGGTACTGAATGTATTGACAAAGGCTTTATGATCTTACCAAGCTGTAGAGTCACTGTTGGGTTCCTCTGGGGAAGAATCCAGGGATACCAGCTGCTCTCCATGACTCAGCAGGGCATAAAGCAAAGATATTCCAAACTACAAGTGATACACAGTCCAGGGCAAAATGAGTTTACCTTAGACATTTAGTGCTTCTCTGGATCTGCTATCTTTCCAACTAAAGGACAGGCTTGCCTATACAGATGGAGACTGATACCCACAAGAGCTAGTCAAAGAACTCTAACTTTTCCAAAGGAATCATGTCTGAATTTTCCAGCCTTTGAGACCTGACTAAATAGAGAAATCAGTCTGTAGGTAAGAAATGCAACTAGGAATTGGATGCAGGTAGTCTGTGAACCCCACTTTCAGAAGCACTACTTTAAGCAAAGATGTTCAGAGTGGAGAATACAATTCACTAGAAGATTGACATAGAATGACACAGAATGTCAGAACTTCCATATCTAGAGTCTCATCCTTCAAAACTTGCCATCTTGGGCTGGAGGTGTAGTTCAATGGTACAGTAAGTGTTCAGTATGCACAAGCCCTTGTTTGTATATTCACCATAAATAAAAGACTAATATATGTAAAATTTATAAACATCCATGTGTTCTCTCTCTCCCTCTCTCCCTCTCCTCTTCTCTCTCTCTCTCTCTCTCTCTCTCTCTCTCTCTCTCTCTCTCTCTCTCTCTCTCTCTCTCGTCTTATCATATATCCCTGGCTGGCTTGGAACTCACTCTGTGGACCAGGCTGGCTCAAACTCACAATGATTCATTTACCCCTGCCTCCCAAGTGCTGGGAGTAAAGGTGTGTGCCAGCACACTGTGATGTCTCTGAATTTCTTACTAAAGGGGGTACACAGTCAAAATTTGAAGATCTTTACTGCAGAATATCATATCACTACCACCAGCAGGGATTCTGTCAGAAAAGATGTGTACTTTTTTAAGACATGGTCTGAGGTAGCCCAGGCTGGTCTTGAACCTACTGTATAGCCAAGGATAACCTTGAACTTCAGATCCCCTTGCATTCACTTTCCCTTATAAGGTATGCACCATCACACTTGGTTTATGCACCATTATACCAGAGCTTCACGTATGCCTGGAAACACTCTACCAACTTAGCTATATCCCCAGTCCAAGATGCGTGTTCCTGCCTTTTGACTACCATGAACTGAATAGTTCTGCTCTACCATAGCCTTTTCCCTCCATGATACCACAAGCTTTGCCACAGGCTCAGAAACAAGTACAAGCCAGCATGGTATGAGAGAAAAGGAATGATGACAAAGGGGCAGGGAGGGGAGACGAGGAGAAAGGAGAGGAAGGAGGGAGAAAGAGGAAAAAAAGCAAATGTGTAGAGTGTCCCCCACCCCATGTCTCTCTGGGAATGGGACCAAGTAATTAGTACCTAATAAGCTCCCCAGGTCATCCTGTGCTCACTAGAAGATCTTTGACAGGGTTTTACTATGCATTCTACAATGGCCTAACATTGGCTATGTAGCTTGGGCTAATCTTAAACCCTGATCCTCTTGCCTCAGCTTCCCCAGTACTGGAAGTACACCATGTCTGGCTCTCACTGAAGTTGAGAAGCACTGCTGAGGATAAGATTTGTATGTAGATGAGACTATTCCTTCACTTATTCTTTTCTTGTGATACTATTTTAGAAGTCATCTATGGGAGGCCTGGCATGGTGACACATGATATGGGAGCATCAGGAGTAAAGTCATTCTAGTGAGTTTCAGACCAGCCTGAGCTACATGAGACCCTATCTCAAGAAATCAGAAGGCAGAGGCAGGTAGAGTTCTGTGAGTTCAAGGCCAGCTTGGTCTAGATAGTGAGTTCCAGGCCAGCTGGGGCTACAGAAAGACCCTGCCTCAAAAACAAAGTAAACAAAAAGCCATCTATGGAAAGAGCAAAGTGTCCCAGATGTATTACCTGATTCTGAAGTACCACAGCGACTGGCCGCTCTGAGGAACCGGGTGGTAGCAACATTAGACCTTGAAGTCCTTGAAGGAGTTGATGGAAGGTAAGGTGACTTATATATTTGCCCAGAGGTTTGAATAACATGTGTAGAGCCTGTAAAGAAGATCAGTAAGTACCTCTTCCAATGCCACTATAACTTCATCTCCTCAAACCTTGCCTCCAGTCCCATCGTTGGCTGACTAGCTTTCGGTGCCTTCCTGATCAGGTTCTTTACTAAGCCTAATACTGCTTATAACTCTCCATTCCTCAGAGACCTGTAATACCTGCAAGGGCTTTCTATAGAAAGTAGCCTCAACCCTCATCAGGAGATCCTTATCTTTTCTCAAACTCTATAGCAGCACTCTCATACCTGTACCACCATACACCTGTTTTCATTTGCTCATTATACTTGAAGATGATCTGATGTTTCTTGGTAGCTTGGGTGAAGACTGCGGTAAGTCAGCAGTCCTTTCTCTGCAGATGTATTTGCCTGCCATGGGGGAGAATCAGATCTACTGCCATACACCTGTTTTCATTTGCTCATTATACTTGAAGATGATCTGATGTTTCTTGGTAGCTTGTTTTGTAGCTTCCTCACCTGAGGGGGTGGGCAGTACTACACTTTGCTGGCATCTCTTGGTGGTGGGGAAATGGAGGGAAGGAAAGATCCCTAACCTATTGAGACCACCCTTTTCTCTACTCAGTGCCACAGCACCTGGTCAGCCAAATCCCTCCGGATCAGGAGAGGCAGATGGTGAGTGATATACAGAAGAAGGCTAACAGCTTGATCACGGGGCAGGAAGGGGAGCAGCCGAGCCACCAAAAATTTCCCCTTCCTTACAGACAGCACCTGCAGAAGGCTGTCTGCTGTCTCCCTGCAGGGAAGAGAGTGTTTTCAGATTTGTGCCCAGAACATGTATTCCTGCCATGTGCTACATGCCAGGATGGAAGAACATCACCAAGGCCAATGTCTGCTGATCCTTCCCTCCTCAGGCTAAAGTGGGACCCTCCCATACTCACTCCAGGCTGTTCTGTTCTTGGGTCTTTAAGGCCTGGAAGAGCTTCTCAACCTGGTTGCTCTGTTGCCCAGAGCAGCAGAGTTGTGGAAACCCATTCTTCTGGCCCTCTTCTATCTCTAGTAACTGAAGGAACATCTGGGAATTTGACAGTGGGGGAAGAAAGAGTTAGCTGAGCAATATCCCATCCTCAAAGTCAAATGCATCTCCACTGAGCTCCCCTCTTACCTTCTCGATCTGGAATAATACTTGAAGCCTCTGACCACATGTAGCTCCTGTATCCTAGGAAAGAGAGTCCCTGGCCAGCCACACCAACAATGCAACTGGAAAGTCTGGACACAAAGACTAACCACACTGCTTCCTCAATCTTAGATCACCAAGTAACCTTGAATATGAGTGTGTTCTAGATAACATAGCACAGAAAAGTGTTCTAGGAAGACAGTACTCCTACCTGCTCTTGAGTTCCATGAGATACAGCATCAATAGCTCGGCGAGGGCTAAAACATGTTGATACAGCTACCTGGCCCAGAGAACCCTCAATTCGAACCACTGCATGAAAAGAGTCAGGAGGGACATGTTCTTCTGTAGGAACCCTCTGCCCACCCAATGTCCAATGCCAGCCAGCTGTGACCATACCTGACTCATAAACTTCTGCCTTCTGGATGTAAGGGGTGACCAGCTTGAGTGACTCAAGCCTGTTCTTTTGTCCAAGCAGCTCTTCATCTGCCTGTTTCTTCTCTAGCTTCTGGTAGTATTCCTGAGAGTTCGGGAATAGACAGTATGAATATATGTAAGACATTTCTGTACAAAGATGGACATATCTATGACTCCAAGGTAGATAAGGAAAATTCTCAAAGGATGGAGACAAAACTTAAGTATTTAGGAAATTGTAAATAATCTCATTTGACTGAAGTGTAGAATGGAAGAGAGAGCTTGGGGTGTCAACTTTAGAAATATCGATTCTATCTTGTGATTGAACAAACAGGACCTGTATGGGCTGGTGAGGATCAGAGAAGGCCCAGGAGTCCTCACTCATTCAGCCAAAATCAAAGACTGGGACTAGCGGCCCAGGGCTCACCTGGTAGTAATAATCGTCTAGGCGGGGGTTCTCACTCTGCAGCTGAACCATCTGCACTTTAATCACCCAGTCCTTCTCTTTTCGGGTCATGAGGTTAGCATAGGGGTCTGGCTGCTGAGACCAAGGCTTCTGGGATAGGAGACTTCAGGCCAGGAGAAACATCCCTTTAAGCCTACCCACCCTGCCATAGTGAACTTCCCAAGGAGGGGTAAGCAGGCAGTAGAGTGCTCTTGGAAGGTTGGGAAAGGGTGCAGTGGTAGGCAACAGGGCCAGAGCCCTAGTTATGCAGTGGTTTGGGAAAAAGATGCCTGGTCACAAGGCATACAGATGGGCCTTCCTCAACCCTGCTCCTCATCTAAGCTTTACCTTGGTTTTTGCCTCTGCTGCTGCAGTAAGATCTGTTGGTGCTGAGGGTGGAGCTGGGTCAGACGACTGGGAAGGCTTAAAAGGAAACCAGCTGGGTGGAATGAAGCTCTGTTCCACATCGCAACCCTTTTATTCATTCAGCCTGTTAAACTCAGGTGGACATCTAAGGAAGCTTTATCAGTTTACGTGCCATACCCCAAATCAGGCAACATCACAGTCCTTATCTCCCCATCCCAAGATATGATTTCCTGCAGTTTGGCTTCAGAAAGTTTGGCTTCAGAAAATCTAGGCCCAGTAGGAAACCCTTTGGCTTGGTTAGTGGTTCTGAATCTTTGTCTCAGTTCTGTCATGCTAGCTGTCCTCTTTAATCTCCTCAAAGCTCTGTTTCCTCGTCTATGAGGGAGCAGAGACTGAACTGTGCTTCAGATTTCTGTTAGTGAATTTCTATAAGTATTTTTCTGTAGCAACTGGTAGGAGGTAGAAGTGGTCCTTGGCTACCATGCCCTGTGAACTTTGGAGAGAATGTAGCTTTCCTTGATGCTAACTACATCCTTGAACTGGTACCTGAGCTTATGGGGCCATGAGGTTAGTGTGCTGCAGAAGACAGTTGGATCTGGTGAGGACTGGCGAGGTCCAAAATGCCGGACTGGAGAGCTGGCTCTTGGAAATGTGGGCTGAAAATGAATTGGCAACAGATAGTCCAGGGGCAAGAGAGGAACTGAGAAGACTAGAAAAGGGAGACAGGAGCAGGAGAGAGAATGCTGCTCCTGATCAGGTCATTTCCTGCCTCTCTATTTTACCTGACTTTTCCCCTAAAGAACTTCACTTAACATTCTGCTGTGATGAGGAACCTGAAGCTAGCTGAGAAGACACCATACTGTGCTCCTGCCCTTGTTTTCACAGTTTGTGACTTCCTAAAAAGCATCTTTTCAATCCCTGACAATATGGGGGCGGGGCATGTGCTTTTTAATGCTCCTCACTTTAACAGTCTTCAGCCACTGGAGTCATGCTGATCTGCCTGTTTTCTGCCTCACCTCATAAGAGCTGTAATTACCTTATACCTCTCCCTACAGGATTCCCTGGTCTTTAGTTGCTTTCTTCCCAATCCACCCTTGACACACACTCCTATTATGTAATTAATTGAGCAGGTGTTCTTCCCAGTCCTAAGCTCAGTGTTGATCATCTTTGGAGATATTGTGTAAGGTAGGAGCAGGGATCTACTTTGTTCTGATTCATATTGAATGACAGTTGTCCCAGTACCACTTACTAAGACCATCTCTGCACCTGGGTGGACACACCATCTGTTCTTTCCCAGGTGGTTCTACATAATGTGACTGTTCCCTCAGTCCCATACCCACACCTCATTGGGTACTTCATCTTTAGTGCAAGGAGAAAGGTAGATTGAAGATAATAGAGCACTTTCAGGAATGGAAACCTCACAGGATAGGGACTAGAATAGATTCACCTGCCAAGGAAAGTGCATGGGAGCTGGTGACATCCCCAACGGACCAGGGACCTTGATTCCAGGGGAACTGAGCAGTCCTTTCTGAAACACAAAGAAATGCCAGGCTCAAATTAGCCCCCATGGTGCCATCTCCATTTGCTGTGTCCACAGGGACAAAGGAGGGGCAGCAAAACCAGTCATTTCAACACTCAAGACAGTGGCAGGCTGACCTCCCCTTCATGTTCAAGGTCAAATGGGCCAGAATCCTTTTCCCTGAGCAGATGAGTAGCATTTAGGCATGGCTGTGGGAAGTCCTTGTCTTTCTGTACTGGTCATAGGATTTAAGGGCACAAATAACCAAGAATGGTCTGCCAAGAGACAAGGGCCCAAAGGTGACTCCCCAGTAGTAGGGCTACCACCTGTAGTGGGGATACATGATCCTGCTAGTATTTTTTGTCCACACACACATGCATGTGCACACTTGCTTGGTGCACATGTGGAGGTCAGAGGATAACCTGAGTGCTATTCTTCAGGATCTTTCCATTTTTGTTTGAGACAGGATCTCTTACTGGCCTGGGACTTTGACTTATAGGCAAGGCTAGCTGAACCTTGGGCTTTCAGGATTTTCCTGTCTCTACTTCCCAACTTTCAGGGGCTAGGATTAAAGGCACACAGAGTCCTGGTTTTCACGCATGTTCTGGGGATCTGAGCTCAGGCCTTCATACTTGCAAAGCAAGCACTTTACCAACTGACTCATCTCCCTGGCCCAGATTTTTGTTTTTGAGACTGGGTCTCTCTGTATATAGTCCAGACTGGCCTGCAACTCATGATCCTTCTTTGTCTGCCTCTGGTGTAACAGTGCTAGGATTAAAGGTGTGTATCACCCAGTTTAGGACCTGGTTCTAAGGTGAGGACAGCTGTAGAAACTTGTGTGAGAGAAAGGAGGGAAAAGGGAAGGAGAACATACTAACTCAGGTCAGTCCTGAACTAAAGCACATGAGTTCAGAATCTGTCTTACAAAGTAGAGGTAAGGAACGAAGTATTGAATGACAGTCTGTGAACTGATTGTTCAGGACAACTTTTTCCAAACCCACCTGCATTGGCACCTGGTTATTTTGGATGACACCGACTACAGCTGAGTCCCCAGGGTCATTCTCTTCCTCTTCTAGATCGAGATGCAGATCTTCATTCTCTTCCTCTTCATTTCCTGCCAAGGAAACACAAATCTTGCCTGGCCTGTGCAGTATGTGTAGGCCTGTAGAAAATTGGGACATTAGTGTAAGAAACTGTATCTAGACAGGCTGGCACTCAATAGCACATCTAGTCACAAGTCATCTCTAGAACTGTTTTCAACACTACATCTGTATGTTGGGTCCCCAGACCACCCATCAAAGATACAAACAGAACCTGGCATGTGCCAAGCCTCTTTTCATAGTCCTCTTTCAGTGGTCTGATTGAATACCACAGGTTTCTTTCTACACCTGCTCGCCCCAATCCAACAGAAGCTTCTTTAACCTCTTTAAATGAACTAGTATCAGCTGCCCTGACTCACTGTAATTTAACCTTGTATGCCAGATACTTCATACTATGTGTTTATTGAATAGTCATACAAAGCTGTCAAAACTGTTACTGATAATTTTATAACATGGGCAAGGGAAATAAAAGCCCAGAAAAATCAATCTCAGTAGCTAGCAAGTGGAAGAGCTTACAGTCATGTTCAGTGATTCTGATTCCCTAACTATGCTAACGCACACCAGCTTGACTTGGTACCCCTTTTTATGAACTTTCTATGTAGACACCCCAGCCCACTTGAAAATACCTTCAAGGCATTTTATCTTTGTAGCCTGCTGGGCTTCCTTGTCAGCTGTGTCCTCTGCTGAGAGAGCACTGTCAGCCTTTCGAAGGGAAACCTAAGACAGAAAGAGACCCAGAGGCACCCTCCTCCTCAGTCAGTCAAAATGGTATGGCCCCTAAAACACCCATGTCTCCTTCTAGCAAGGTGGTCAGAGAATTATTGGCCTAAGGCCTCAGGAAGTAAGACTCTGGGTTTTCAGATGTCTATAAGCCCCCACCCTCCCATCTCACCAGCTCAGCTCCAAGGTGCTATTTTGCAAAAGGACAGAAGTTAGGGAACTGGCTAAGTGTTAGAAGAATACAACCAGTCACTTTTTGTGCATAGTGATAGCCTGCTGCTGACACCCACCACCGGACTGTTGCCGTCTTTCCCACGTAGGTTAGCCATAGCAGCCTGGGTCAGGGCCTGCTTGCTTGTCCTGGCTTTTAAAGGCTCAGTTCCTCCCACTGCTTACCTGTTAAAGGGCCAGTATGCTCCAACCACTGGGATATTGTATGAGAATTCTAATAAAGAGGGAGGTTCAGGAGTTCAAGGTCAGCCTCAGATACACAGGGAATTTGAAGCCACCACGGGTTGCTTGGGACTCTGTTTCAAACAACAACAACAACAACAACACACACACACACACACACACACACATACACACACATACGCTCACCAAAAAGTAAAGTAAGAAAACCCTTAGCCTATACCTCTAATACCAGAACTTGGGAGGCTGAAGCAGGGGGATTCCCTTGCATTTCAGGCCAGCCTGGGCTATATAGTAAGTTCTATATTAGCTTATACTACAGAGTTTGGCCCTGTCTCAGAAGATAAAAAATTAAATGAGCTGTATGTGGTGATCCACACCTTTAATCTCAGCACTTGGTAGGCAGAGGCAGATGGATCTCTATGAGATTGGGGCCAGGCTGGTCTACATAGCGAGTTCCAGGCCAGCTGGTGCTACAGGGAGACCTTGTCTCAAAGAAACAACAAAATAAAATTGTAACAGTGATTTCTGATCATGTACACATTGCATACATTTTGGGGCTAGAGAACTGGCTCAGCAGTTAAGAGCACTGACTGGTCTTGCAGAGGACTCAGATTCAATTCCCAGCACCCACAAAGCACCTAACAACTGTCTGTAACTCCAGTTCTAGGAATCCAGTGCTTTCTTCTGACCTCTGCAGGCACATGGGTACACTTAAACACATGCAGGCAACACACTCATACACATAAAATAAAAATAATAAATAAAACATTTTTAAAAATTAAAAAAAATTCCTTTTGTCTGTGGAAAAGAAATTAACTACACATTTAGCTATGTTATGAGTACAGTTTATTGGAACTGACATTCAGGGGCAGCTATTTAAAAATAGTGCCTCTGACCCATGCAAGCTTAAACCAGACAAAAACCCAGCATAGAAGTAGGGAAATAGGTAAGTAGCCCCAACCTTAGCTGAGAAACTATTGGCAATCAATGACTACTGGGAGGGGGAGAGTTGGTTTTGTTTTAAGGGAGTGATAATAAATAGGTTGACCAAGCTCTAATGGATGAACTCACACCTAGGGACATCTGGGGATACAAACATATATGACAGAATGCATGAAATTGTTGGGGGGCCCTAAAGGGAGGCACATAAGGGATAAGGGAGGGGGTCTAAATATGATCAAGATATATGAAATTTCCTAAGAGTTAAAAAAAATTAGTGACCCTGTTTTCCATATGCTTTACAGGAACTTTGTAAAGAACTTTGTTTCTGCCAGGCGTGGTGGTGCACGCCTTTAGTCCTAGCACTCGGGAGGCAGAGGCAGGTGGATCTCTGTGAGTTCCAGGCCAGCTGGGGCTACAGG